CTCAAACTCATGACCCATCAGTCGTAGAAGATAGTCTTGACTTTATGCGTCGCATTGACAACATTCTCATAGATCTTATAGTCTATAATCCCCAGCACACACACCAGTCAGTCTCTAAACCAATTCACCGAGGGAAAAGCATTCAACACATACCACAATCGGCTGGGTCACCCCACTCTGTTGAGCCAAGTACACGGATTCCGTATCCCTAGAAAAGGCAAATCATTAGCATTAACTCTCGATAGCCATGAAATTCCGATTTCAAGATATCAAGTCCATGTATATCCCTCCGGGATAAATGTTGAACATACCTGTCCACCCTCTAGATCAGCAACCTTCCCCACAATCTCAACTAACTTCCCGACTTGGAGACGTCCATCGGGCTTCAAGATCAGAGTGATATCACCATTGTTGCCACAGGTGAGTGTGCCGGTATTCCCGTGGAGCGCGGTGATGGTGCCGAGTACACGGACGGTGTTCGAGCTAGTGCTGGAGGGGTGGAAGGCGTGGAGGTGGGAGGGGAGGATGCGGGGGGTTTGGATTGACATTTTTGAATATTGGGATGTTTCTCGACTATCTGAGATTTCAAAATTTGACTGTGTCGAGGTGATGGGGTTCGTTGTCCTGGTTTGATGCTGGAAAACGGCGGGGAATAAGTAAGGTTGATCGACGCGAGGCGCGGAAACGCGTGGTCACGTGGTGATTAATTAGTATGAACTGGTTAAGTGGACTTTTTAAGTTGGATATCTGGCAATACTATGTAAAAGCGTCTCTAACTGGGAATTCGGTTCTGCATTGAACTGAGAGAAAAACTGTTTACCTATAATAAATTGACAACTGAGTTGACGCAGCCAATTACCACTTCTACCCTTCTGTAACTTTTTCGATATCATCACGTGATCACATATCAATCTCCAGCAAAAGCTTCAGCCCGATACGTCAATTCAACAAGTCCACACCACGCCATACTGCGGAGCTGACCTGGCGCAATTTTCTGGTTTTGAACTGCAAGCTAGGCAACTGAGCTTTACATCTCTCTACACAACCGACACCCACCCTCCTTCTACATACATCACATCCGACCACAATGCCTCCTCCGCTCCCCTCTTCTCACCGGGGAATGACCAAAAACCCCGTCAGGCCTGCTCGTTACCGCCCTGGAAAAGCTATCGCAGAGGAGCCCTCATCCGAGGAAGAGGAAGAGGAAGAAGATAACGAAGAAGAAGAACGGGAGGCGCGACGAGAACAAGAGCGGCGCAGACGAGCCGAGGCACTGCGCCGAGCAAAAGCGCCCAAAGCGAGCTCATTCCCAGCCTCTGCTGTAGCAGGCCAAAAGGTTGAGGAGGATGACGACGAGGAAGGGTTCGTCACCGAAGAAGAAGATGATGATGACAAGCCCGTACCCGCACCCGCGCCGAAAGCAGTACCGCATCCTACCAACGATTTAAAACCTACTGTATCCACAACTGCCGCGGATAGTGACGAAGAAGAAGAGGAAGAAGAGGAGGAAGAAGAAAGCTCTGAAGAAGAGAGCAGTTCCGAAGACGAAGCGCCCCGGCGCATGCTCATCCGACCAACATTCATCAAAAAAGACAAGCGCAACACCGCAGCTTCAGCAGCAGGCCAAACACAAGCGCAAGTAGACGCAGCTCGAGCCGCAGAAGCCGATGCCCAACGCGCGGCGCAACGCCAAGAAAAAGCCGACCAATTAATCCGCGACCAACTGGAGAAAGAAGCGATAGCACGGTCAAGCGCGAATCGCGCCTGGGACGACGACGAGCTCGTCGAAGCCGAAGACGAAGAAGCCATCGACGACACAGATGGTCTAGACCCGGAAGCCGAGTATGCAGCATGGAAACTCCGTGAACTGAAACGCGTTCAACGATCCCGTGAAGCGATCGAAGCTCACGAGAAAGAGCTCGAAGAGATCGAGCGTCGGCGGAACCTTACTGCTGAGGAACGGGAGCGTGAAGATAGCGAGTTCATTGCGCAGCAGAAGGAAGACCGCGATGCTGCGCGCGGTCAGACGGGCTTTATGCAGAAGTATTATCATAAGGGTGCTTTCTTCCGTGACGATCTTGAAGCTGAGGGGCTTGATCGGCGTGCGCTTATGGGTGCGCGTTTCGAGGATGATGTCAATCGTGATACGCTGCCGCAGTACATGCAGGTTCGCGATATGACGAAGCTTGGAAAGAAGGGTCGCACGCGTTATAGGGATCTTAAGTCTGAGGATACGGGGAGGTTTGGGGATGGGTTGGAGAATAGGAGGAGGAGGGATGGGCCGCCTCAGGGTGTTACAGATGAGCGGTTTATGCCTGACCGTCGCGGTGGTGATGATGGGGATCGTGGACCGACGGGTGCGAATGCTAGTGTTGTTAAACCTCGGCACAGGTCGAGATCGCGTTCGCCTCGACGGGACAGGCGTGATGATAGAGATTCTGGTCGAGTTGAGAGGAGTCGGTCTAGGGAAAGGCGGAAGCGCAGTCCGTCGCCTTATGATGATCGCGAGAAACGTCGGCGGGTGGACAGTTCATGATTCCTTTCAGTGGTCAAGCGGGCGCTGTTGATATCCTACTTTCCTGCTGGCGTTGGGGCGCCAGTCTATCATAAGGTGCATATGGGATCTGCTTCTTGATATCTGAATTTCGAACAACCAATGTGCTAATACTCTTCTGTATGTACGTAATATAGCATATCCTCTCCTGGAGGAATTGTATTGTATGATATCTGCTGGCCGACAATCAAGGACCTTTTGTGTACAGATCTATAGCAGATTCCAAGAACTGCTAACAAGTTCCTCATATCGACCGTCCAGAGTTGTATTCGCATGACTTCGTGAAGGGAATGTCGGTGCCGGAACCAAAGAGCCAAAGAGCCGCGAAATAAGAGCTTCATAACCACCCTATCACATCTCAAACGCCGTAGATCTATCACGCTAACAAGCACATATCGATCAGCCTGCAGCCTGCCAAACACCCCGAAAGCAAGCTCATTCATTATTTAACACCCGCCCTCTCAAGCACCTTCTCCCTCTCCATAACCGGATCCCCAAATCGAACCAAGAACACCGTCCGACTAGGCCAGAGTTCCGTAGGCTGATTATGCGCCGAGACCTTCGTCTCAAAGCCACACCCGTCACAGACACCCTCGATGATGCCGGCAACATAGGCAGCGCAGTTGAGCATGCTCATATCGCGGGGCGCACTGATATATGTGTTGACCATTGGGTCGTTATCGGTGATCATGTATTCGTTGGGGGTGTCCGGGGACACAGAGTGCTCGAGGGCATCTGCGGCGCGGTTGAAGAGGAGGCGCCAGAGGGGGCCGTGAATCAGGTGCAGCAGGGTTATGATACGGAGGGGTCGGTTTGGGGGTGAAGAGGAGGTGGAGGAACTTGAAAGGGCGGAAGAGGAGGTTGAGGTTGAGCGGTAGAAGAGAAGGTCGAGGAGGCGGAGGCCGAGTGGGTAGCCTTGTTCGTTTAACCTGGATGGAGGGGTTGTTAGCTACGGGTTGTTGGGCAGGTACAGGGTGATGGTTATTTTCTGAGAGGGCTGGGAGGAGAGAAGATTCCAGGATTGGATCAGGGGTTGTCTCTTACCGTTTCTCCAGATCTTGGATACCTGTTACTCGTCGTTGAGCATATGTGACCATCTCCCCGAATAGAAAGGCGAAGCTCGCCCGGCTGAGTTCTGCATTACGACTTCGGTTCAGGTGTCGGTCGTAGATGGTCTTGCGATTGGAAGGTACACGTAGCCCAGGGGACTGTTGTGATAGCTGGGCTTGCTGTGTTTGTTGTGTCTGTGGTCTGTCGGTCCCTTGCGCTGTGCTGCCATTGCTGATGGATTGCATCGTGGCATGTCGAGGTGGTGCCGCCATGGCAATGGCGTTGTATTGTAATTTGAGCTCAGAACCGGGAAATGTTGACTCGGGAGCTTGAGGATCTGGTCAAGTTGAGGTATCTATGGGAGGTGGCTAGCGTTGGCTATGGGGTAGTGCATGCGGTACGGCGGAGCACAACTCCCTCGGGTGCAATCCTGCGAGATTTTACTCTTGGGCCGAGAAACGAAAAATTACGAGATGGACTATACAATACTACAAGAAGATCTGATTGGAAGAGATTTGTAGACAAACTGTCATTCATTTGATACTGATGTACTTTAGGTTCTAGCTGTTGAACTTTCCCGACACAGCACACAGGTCGATATATCCTCCCGAGCCTGGTCTAGCAAAGTAGCGACCATAAGCTAGCTATAGAGCCAGGCAGTGGGCACTGCAAAGCGATGATACGTATTTCGTATGATATCGAAGACCGAATGTGTAACGAAGAGATCCTATTTCTGAGAGACAATTAGCAACCGTCTCGACTGCAATGACATGAAAAGAATTCATAAAGGAACAGCCAAATATTTCTCAGACATCCAAGGAAGATATTCCGCTCAATGCCGCCTTGATTGGGTTCAAGCGACGGCTAGCGTGGAAACTGCGAATGTAGGAAGATTTTCATCATCGAACGGCGCGAGGCCGTTGGCTGGGGGGGAAATGCAATGCAAGAAAAAAGAAAAGTTGCAAAAAACTTACCAAGTCAGTTAAGAAGAGTATATGTGATTCTATTCACATATACTCTTTATGAAGGTGTCGGGCTCAACAGGGGTTCCAAAGCCAACATCAAGACCTTGAAACCAAGTTGGTTGAGGAAGATGAAGAAGAAGAAATTTCGGGCCGGGCGATGGCCTTTTATAGGGTCGAGCGGAGCCGCAGCTTCAAGCGAAAAAAAAGAGTGTCCACTTGGAAAAAAGAAAAGAAAAAAAAAACAAATGGCTGGGAATTAATTATAGCTAATTAGTATTAGCTAAAATAATTCAAGGTGTTTTTGTTTTTATTTTAACTAATCCCAGGTCATATCGTTTTCGTAGATTCTGATGGAAAAAAAGCCTGTACGCCCATATATGAACCAACCAGTGGTTATAACCCAAGCAATCAAACCAAATAGAAACCAAATAGACACCAAATATGCTCATAGAAGAGGAAGAAAAAGAGCCAGAAAGAGCTAGAAATCATGCTGGAGAAGCGTTTTCTCCACTTCAGCTACTTGAAGCTCTTCTGCTTTTGTCGCGAATTCCAATTCAAAGTCTTGGAGATGCTATGCACCCAGCCCTCACCCTGTCCACCGGGGGGCAAGACATTGGCAAAAGGATATCTCGAAGCCGACACAGTAACGTAGTCACCAGGATGTAACTCGACTCTGAGGTTTATCAGTCAGACAACAAATCCAAGCGCCAAACCAACAGTGACACGGCAGATGCAACATATATAGCAAACTCACCTTTCGCGTCCATCAAAGCTAGCCCATGAGCTCGTGCGCGCATCGTACGGCACACCCATGCGCAAGACAATGGTGTCTGGTAGAATAATTGGTCGGAAGGATAGCGTGTGAGCGCAGATGGCGGTGACAAGTATAACGGGGTTTTCGGGGTGCGAAAGAGAGCCGCCAGCGGCGAGGTTGTAAGCAGTCGATCCGGTTGGGGTAGCAATGCATATTCCGTCAGCGAGTAGGGTTGTGAAGTGCTCGTCGTCCCCGAAGAGTTCAATTTGAGACATGGCTAGCGAGGATTGGTTAGCTGTGTGTCTGTGTATATCGTGAAACCTGACACATAACACTGAGGGGAGTCAGAAATCGGAAGGCATACTTGGGTTTGGCCCCCGGTCGAGAACTACATCGTTGAGAATCTCATACACCTTATCTGGGGTATGCGTCAATGTGTCCTCCCCTTCCTCTCCGATCAGTTCCTCTACCAGGTCACGGTCTGATAGAGAGCGCGCATGCGGGTCTCTTATCCGGGCTTTGCTGCGCATGATGGTACATTCGAACCGTAGCCGTAGGCTGACAAAAACGCCATCTCGGAATGCATTATCGAGGCTCTTCTGATAATCCGCAAAGTCGAAATTGGTCAAGAAGCCCAGTGAGCCCAGCGCAAAAGAGAGTACAGGGGGCACGATGCGCTGGAACAGCCAGCTTGTGTATAGAACGGTTCCGTCTCCACCAAGAGTTATCACAAAGTCAAACAAATGTGGTTGTTCTTGAGCAAGCTTGGGATCCCAGTACTTGAGCCGGCTCTCCGCAGAGGGCTCGTCTTGTACTAGTTGCAACGCACCGAAGTCCGGGTGCGTCTCGAGGCGCCGCTCGACGTAGACCACGTATAGAGAGTCACGGTCCGTGGATAGTAACCACTTTGTAACCTTTCGAGTCAGACTTACCAGCGACTGGTCCTGCGCCTTGCTTACTATGAAGATATTCTTCACGGTGAGCTTGAGCTTGATACTGCCCAGCTTCTTCGATAGCTTGCGCACGTTCCAAGCCATATCTGATAGCTGTCTCTTTGTAAGATGCCGGGATTCGATGATTGTGGGTATCGGTTTGCTGTCACGGCCGACCACTGAGACCAGTTCCTCTGGCTCGATACCTTTGGTATTTGTCACGGATTGGCTCTCATCCTCTCTCAATGTCTGTATCACATCTTCCGGGCCTTCTGCATCTTTAAGGTGTTTGGGGGGTGAGGTCCACTCGCTCGCAATGAGGTTGTGGACGTAGCAGGCGGTCGTCCTGTCATCCTGAGCTGGGTGAGGCTGGACCCTCGGCTTGTCCATCGTAACAAGGGAGGACTTGCGACGGTGGTTCGAGTCGGGATAGAACACAACCTAGGTAGCAACATGTGATTAGTATGGAACTATCATAGAGTCGAACTGCTTACCTCCAGGTGATTCTGAGCCTCCGTATCGCTCGCCCCTCCATTGTTCTATGATGGCATTAGTCAGTCACTGCAATAACCGAAGTCCACCTGGACAGTCTATTAGGACTTACATCATCCTTAACTGCCTTATCCATCACGCAAAAGTACTAGAATTTCCCTGTTGGTCACTCTGTCATGGTTGTCCGAGCTCCGGGGTGTGGCCATGAAAGAAAGTGGGTAGCTGGGTAGCTGTGCCCCACCACCGGTGCGTGGTGCGCCGCAACAAAAAGAGGTATCTTTTGTATAGCTTTTCCATATAAAAGATACATGCACATAACCTCAATTTTTATCCACTTTGTCAATGTACATTGTATACATCTAAATCCTCGACTACTTCGTGAAGAGAATTCGTGTTGTGTCTATATTGTACATAAGTATCTTCTGTCTTTCTCATACAAAAGATACCTAATTTCTATGTTTTTGGGGAACGGTGGGCTTGGCATGACTATGACGTACACCCGGTCCTCTTTTGGTCATTGGGAAGACAATTTCTAGAACACATGCCCAGCTTTCCAGTGTGAATCTTTTCAATGACATGATTTGTGGGAGATCTTGTTCATATGGGTTCTATACAATTTTCTATCTCGACAATCTGGTCTATTTGGAATACTTTATTTTCGAGGAAGCACACTTTCCACGGATATATATCGCAACATGTCATCTAGTAAATTTGCTCGCTAACTTGACTCTCATACTTTACATCGCATTCTTCATCTCTCTCAATGCTGCCATCACATCCACGGGGTCAGTCTTGCCAGTTACCTTTTGGATCTCGGGGTCCTATGTGTTCTAAATCAGCAACGGCAGAGACAGGAGCAAAGGACAAGGAACTTACATTGACGCGCATGAACACATTGTGGAGCTAAATGTCTGTCAGTCTCGACCAGAAACATGCTTGAGTCTAATTCTTACCTTCTCGTCACCGATGGTGAATTTCCCTTGTGTCTCCTTGTTCTTTTCCGCAAATTCCTGGAGCTTCTTGATAGGCTCTGACTGCGACACTGCAATGCAGAACTTGACATTGGCCTTGGTATACTCGTGACCGGGCTAGAAGGAATCAGCATGAGCTCTGTACCAATACGAAAATACAACCATACATAAACCTTGGTGTCATCAGGCAGAGCCGCGAGGGTCTCGTTCAAAGCCTTGTGCATCTCCTTAGCATTTCCTTCGAAGAATCGGCCACATCCTGATTTTAAAATTAGTTCACGGCGCTACATGGACGTTGTGATGGAGCCTTGGAAGGTTTGAAAATGATACACATACCGCCAATAAAGAGAGTATCGCCCGTGAAGACAACACGCTGGTCTCCATCTTGCATATAGTAGCAGACGCTGTCCTGGGTATGACAGGGAGTGTGCAATGCCTTCACTGAGATACGATCTCCAATCTTGAATTCCTCGCCATGCGCGGGAATCTTCGTGACAGATGCACAGTCCTTGCCACCAATGACCTGAAGGCCCTTGAATTGTTTCAACTGGTGCAAAATGTTAGCTCGACGTAATACCCAATATCCCGAGAAAGCATGCATACAATGTCATTATTACCGCCAGCATGATCCCAGTGGCTTGAGAAAATGTCAGCAAACCTGTATTATTTTGTACTCTTTTTACCCATCCATGAAAGTTCAATCCACATACTGGTGAGTGTTAACAATGGCCGTCAGGTCAATCTTGCCAGAATCAATCTGAGACTTGAGTTCCGGCGCAACCCTGTAATTCCACAGCATCAGTTTCAGCCCATTCAGTGGATCCAACACGATCTAAGGATTCGACTCACTCCGGAGGATTGGCTGGATCAATAATAACCGACTTCTTGGTCGATTCATCCGTTACGAGGTAGGCATAGTTGTTGCCTTTCCCCGTCCCTGTAGAATTGACCTAGAATAAGCAAATACTCTTTCTGCAATATCCCAAGATTGCCGCTGTTGATTGGTAATCTATATGATGGGACCGGAAAATCAACATACACATAGGAATCGATTGGATATGCATGGCTCTGACTTGTGACTTGAATAGACGCGAGCTAGTTCCGAATAATTGTGTCCTTAGAAAGTTCATCACCAACAATGAATCAAAACAGTGCGGGGAGCTCTTGAAAGAGGTAAACCTGTGGATCTCTCGGATTACAAACGTCATCCGGAAGAACTATTCCCCCTTCTAGCTTGACAGCTTTTAGTAATGCTATCGCTTTTGATTGGTTGCTCGTTACTATGCAGCTGTGTACCTTCATAGGTATATATTGGCTTTAGGGTTCTACGCTGCCAGCAGCGTATGCATTTTTGAATTGAAGATAAGCCCGTCTAATTACTTGATACCACGCCCAATGGTCGACTATCCCATTTCTCCAAGAATCCCCATCCATGTTCCAGCAGCTTATCCGAGAGCTGAGTTGAAGCGTATTGTGAGTCAATTCTAACGTGTTTGGGTTTCGAGACTCGGTTCTTGGCAGCAGGTCGAGCCGCAAGAGCTGATTTGGGCTTACTAGCGTGCTTCCTTAACTGATCTCCCAGCATCTTTGTCCAGTGGTGTGGACTTTCATCGCAAGCTCGAAGAACATAGCTCTGCGGGCATGATTGTCTGTGGAACTCCCAGGCAGGAGATGTCAGGATATGTGCGATCCACAGATACAGTGCCTCGGAAGATGCATCTTCCGATATATCGGTTGTGTTCTTAAAAGCCAGATCATTCACGAGATCTTCGGTCAAATGCCTCAAAAACGCAGGATGACTCTCTGTAACCTTTTGCAGCACCGGGTTCCATTCCTTGAATGTATCATTCAGCGAATCCCCAAGTCTAGGTAGAAAAATGTCACAGTCAGCATATACTCCCCGACAACAGCTGCACCCTTGACGACACAGCCAAGACAAACGCAAAAAGAAGGTGGGTGGAGGGAAAACTCACTCCCGCCCATTAGGCACCAATAATCCCCGCTCGAGCAAAACAGAAGACAAAAGCCTGACCCCACTCGCAGCAATATTACAAACCGAGACAAGCCGCATAGCGACCGAAGCAGCCTGATCCCGCTTCCGCTTCTTGGGCACAGAATCCATCGATTCACCGGATAGAGGCTGCAGAGCGTCACACAAGGTGGCCCTGACGGACGCACTGTTGTCATAGGTCGATGCAGATGCACCGGAGTCATCAGCAACACCGGCCCAGTAATTGTCCCACAGCCATTCGAGAGAGCGCTGTGCAGCTTTGCGCAGTACGACAAGCGACGGCGGCTCGCGGTGGGTTGCTTCGTGGCGGAGTTCCACGAAGGAGGCTGGGAGGCCTAGGTCTGTGGCGCGCTGGAACATTGTTCGGCGAACGCCGTGAATCTTGGTGTCCACGAGACCGGTTACGAAGCTAAACTGGCGTTAGTCTGAAAACGGGATGTGCTTTGTGAAATGGGGAGTTTGAATTCGAGATATCATCTTCAAGGGATTCAGAGTGGGGTTTTTTTTCTCCTATAAATATAAAAACGAGAATCAGGTAGGCTCAACACTCACCGACAGAAAGCTGCAGAATAAGTAGCACGAATTGAGAAGATGGAATTTCTCTGCGCATCATCGTGGAGAATGGCATCTGTCAACAACGCCGTGGCTTCAACATGGTGCGGTACATTGCCGCGTAGTTTCCAAGCTTCGACCTTTAATTTCGGACATCGTTAGCAAACTATATCCACAGCTGGGCATCACATTAATTCTGTCCATGCATATGTAACATACCACTGCACAGCCATGGGAACGCAAATCGGGTCCAGCGGACGCAGGCGGAGGATAAAACTCGTCCCGCACTTCTAGCAACTGAGACTTGGTTTTCCAAGCGGTGAAAATGACTTTTGCCATTCTCGGCGCTAGGTTTAAAATGACAAATTAGAAATTAAATTCGATGCCGGATGAGTGACCTTTTGCTTGCTTGACTTTTCGTTGATAGCCCTGCGAAATATTTTCGGGGGATTGTTGTTCCTTTGGGAAAGTTTTACCGAAGCTTATTTTTTCCGCAACCAATCAGAGGGCGAATTTGTATACTTCGAGAACCGGAAAGGTGACAATGATTCAATACTGTAGTTCTAATTTCAACTGATGAGTGGAAATAATGATATGTAGCAAATATTGAGATAGATTGTGTATCAGATCGTATACGAGAGTACACCTAAAGTAAATGTAGCTAGATGCGAGTCGCGAGCCGTCTCGTCGCAGGGTATCCTTTCCGTTTATCCGACTCCGAAAAATAAAATGATGAAAGAAAAACTCCACGCTATGCCGCTGGTAAGAAATGCGAGAAAAAAAAGGCAGAAAAAAACCCCCCTCCGTTAGGCGATTCACTCAAATCCACCCATATCCATAGTTCATGCAAGGCTGATTGAAACCAGCAAAAGGCTGTGCAGCAGTCATCTGCTGCTGCTCCGTATCATCGTGTTCGAAGAAGAAAGACCGCTGGAGCAAGTTCAGAGCCTGTCTGGGCTGCTGCTTGGAAGTGAAGTTTGACTGGCGAATGGTAGGCGCGGATTCATGGTAGGTTGGTTGCTGAGGAACTTCACGTTCTCCAATGATCTCCACCTCGTCCGTTTCGTCGTCCTTGTCTTCGTCGGATGGAGTGAACGTTTCTTCGAGCTTCAGGCCCTCGCCTGATTTGCTCTGCGGGGCTCGTGCCAGTGTTCCATTGGGTTGACTGTAGAGGCCCATGCCGACCAGTTCTTCTTCACCCTTTCCAGTCTTCTTAGGCTCGGCGGTAATCCGGAAGGGATCCTCAAATTGCTGAATGGGGAGAAAATCCGGTGTGGATGGGCCACTCAGTTCACCTGGGGAAGGGACGCTGACGTAGCTTGGACATGTTGTCTCTGGTGGGGGGATGTTGGTGCCCATTGATAGCATGTCGAGGTTCCAGTTGTCGGAGGCTGGGTGCGACATCATTGACATATCAGTGGACATAGCGGCGGCTTCCCATCCCATCGGGTCGAGATGTGTCATGAGCGCGGGCGTGTGCTGTGGAAGTGGCAAGTCCTCTTGCATGGTTGAATAGACGGGGAAGTAGTTGGGAGAGAATGAAGGGTCCGCCGTCATAGGATATGAGATGGAGTTGTCGTCGCAGTAGATGTCTGAGCTGAGGTACTGATCGGGCACGGTTCCCATACCGGCGTAGTTATTCGCAGGGAAATCTGAGATGTACGGGTTGGAAAGACCGCGAGTTCTTGCTGATGAAGGATGCCAGCTCATCGGACGTGAGTTCCGGGCGGCTGAGGTGAGAAGGGCTTCTTCCAGGGTTGATTGATATTGAGTGGGCAGTCCCTGCATCGCATTTTGATTCACTGTTGATCGTCTTCTAGTTGCTGATGAAGGACTGTTGCCTGCACTACGAGGCTTCATGACGCGAGTGTGCCTCGGTCGAGGAAAAGCATAAGTTAGATCTTGCATGGTGGACTGGCTATAAGAAGCATGATCTTGAAGCCATTGAGAGCCTGTTGAAGGGGCCTGAGGTTGCCAGGAATAATTGGCCATATAAGAAACTGTAAAGTAAAAGCTTGAAGAGAGGAAGTTGACTAAAGGGGAATCAAGTCAGTATATAGTCAACTGTGGTAGACAGCAAATAGCTTACGTAGTGTGGAGTTGAATAAAGAGTGGATGTGATTTTAAAAAAAGAGCCGATGCTCCCGTTCAGGAACGGGTGAGAGTATTTAATTCCAGTGAAGATCCCGTTACTAGGCAAGGCAGGCTTATAAGGGAATCCAGGGAGCCCTGGATCTACGATGCCACCGCACATGCTAAGATGACACGACGTTGACACTAAGGAGCCTAGACAAAAAAGAAAAATACCAAAAATTACCAAAAAACAAAACGGCAACCTGGAACCGAATCCATGAATCAGGGCAGTTCCACCGTTTCGACCAGGGCCCATAGGGAATACTCCGGAGTGCAGCAAATAGCAGAGTGGGGTGGGATCGGACCTGTGGGAACATGGAACATGCTTTTTGAGGCGAACATGGGGAAGAAATAGATTAATTTAATTAAATAGGTATAAGTATACTCCGTACTAAGTATAATATAATGTATAGGGTTTATAGGGTGTATAGTGGATATGGTGTTGTATGGTACCTAGGTATATTATGCTAAAAGTTCAACTAGCCCAATGGATAGTCTCACACACCCTTAGACGGGGGCTCCCGTTTTTCTTGGGATTTTTTTTTTCTTTCTTTTCTTTTCCTTTTTTTATACGTTTCTCCCCTTTTGGGTAAGAAAAGCCAAATGACGAAAAGAAAATCAAAATTCCCCCAAGGATCCTTGACCCTTTAGCCGCTGGGAATGCTCATTATGTACCTATTGGATCCGCGATCCGGCCCGATCTGCGGCCAACACTTCCAAGGCTGAGTCTGTCTCTTTTTTCCTTCTTCTGATAGTAAGAATGCGGTTAGATGTGCATTAATCAGGACACCTTGTCCTTCCCTTGTCCTTCCCTTTTCCCAATTAAAGCGTTACCAAGCTCGTTACGCAAGGGTTACAATGTGATGGGCTTGTAGAGATCGACTACGCACTGCCCTTTTGGATTTCGACAGGGGTGTAAGTGGAGTTTAAGATAATCATCGTCATTACCCTTCCCAAAGTCTAGATTAAAGAACTTGTCGTCCCTCCCTTTGTACCGTGCATACCCGCATGTGAGGTTGCTATTCTCTCTGCATGACTTCCTCTTCTTTTTACCACCCGGAGTACGGAGTACATGATGCAGGAGATGCATCATTGCCACCATGATCTTTGTTGATGTATTTATTCATTTACTATGACTCTTCTTTTGACTTTTTCTTTTCCCTCAATTAAATGTTCCGAGCCCAGAAATAGACTACTCGACTCGGCTTTCATCACAGATTCACAGCCAATCGTCTAGGTCGGCTTGGCTGAACCGAGAACGAAAACGGAAACTTGGACCTTGCGAGGTTTTAGGCTACCTGCATTTTTGCAGGATCAACATTTGAGGTCATTCTTTAGTATCACCTGAGAAAAAGAAACGAAAAGAGGGGCGCCAACTAAAATTATAGCTAAATACGTAGTAGCGTATCGATTGCCTCAACGTTTGTGGGCCTGTTTCATCGGGAGCGTGGCACAGAAACCCATCACAGACGCCACCAAATGGGAAGATGGGAATACAACATGGTAGACAATCTCGAAAGTAGCCTAGTAAAAAAAGCCTAGTAAAAAATAAATAAATGGGCTCTGAGCGGGAAGCTCGGCTATCCCAAGCGGTTGAACCCCCGTTGAACTTGAATTTTGAGTTCAGATTAAGCGGAGTTTTTTTTTTTTTTCAATGACGTTTTGAAGATGTATTTAGAATGTGATGAGTCTTCATATCTCATATCACCTGCAGCTTTACAATGTACCCCGTACCAAAAACATAGGCAGGTTGCAGATTGCAGATTGCAGGTCAAACAGAGAGTTCCAAGTCCCCTCAGATTGGCGCCAATTGCTAAAACTTGGCATGGACTAACGTAGAACTAAAATGAATGGAGCCACATACGATAAAAAAAAACCACCCGTCAGGAAAAGGAGTTTAACTGGAGCCATTCACAACGTGGCCAGGTGGATCTGATCGTACTTAGGGCTCTGCCAAAGCCAAAAACCAAACCAATACCCGGCGAAAGCCCGGACCTTTTGCACAGGGGGCGTTTTCTTCTTTTTTTCTCCCTAATCTATCTATATTGGCAGGATTCGGGAGATAACAATTTAAATTGAAATATTACCTCACTTACGAAAGAGAGGGTCAAGGAACATATACGGAGTATTAAAACATTGTTTCAGTTCAATATATAACTAAGTCATTAATCTATGAAATTAAGAGCCGATCTCGATGCAAAACACATCAAGCCCATCACGCGGCGTCCAAGCCTGCACTGGAACGCATTTGTAGACCCACTTCATGCACCCATAAAAAAGGGAAAGGAAAAAAGCGGAAATAATTGGAGACAATTTTCCAGAAGGCCAGATGTGTCTGATTTGTCTTGATCAGAGTTCTCTAGTGGCTAGTGGAACCGCTGACATCTGAAAAATGCCGATCTCTGGAATGGCTGAGCACACCGTAACAGCGGCACATTGGGACTTCTTTTTTAAGGAGAGCCCTGAGTCCGATCACCCCTTGAACATACAAAGAGGCATCTTCATATGATTCAGCTTATGCTGTACGGACTACTCCGTATCCGTACTCTGTACTCTGTATAGACCTCAGTATTTAGCAAATACGAGATTCCCACCCTGCATGCCGGGCAAGATCCGAGGCCCAGTACCATGTTTTTGTTTTCAATATAATCTACTTTACTATAGTGAACTAGTACTAGTACATATGGAACATTATGAAGCAATCAGCACTCTCGTCCGAGACCAGGCGCTAGATCACAAATCAGCCTCTTTTTTTTTAATATTATGTTTCTTTTTATTTTCGCTTTTACAGTAACTTCCGAAAGGGCGTGTATTGTATATCCACTAAGGGACAATTCTATAATCAACTAGCGACGAACTTCCCATTTCACCGAATCCACCTCTCCACTATTGGGGCAACACAAAGCGGAGCCGATCCCAGCTTCCTTCATCCTTCCAGACGTTCCAAGTCGGGCATTATGATTGCCCGGTTCCCCTTCTTAGCCCCAAAGAATGCAGCGGGAGCTGCGGGCCAGGTCAATTTGGCTTGCTTTAGCGCCATGTCATCAGCTCCTTACGGTGTAGCATCGGACATGTCCTGGTCACCCTGCTCCCCGTGCGTTTCTTTGTTTCTTGTTTTGGGGGAAATGTGATGGGATTAAACAGGGATATGAAGTACCTATAGAGGGTAGATAATAATAAAAAAAAAACCTACAGAAGTACTCTGTACACAGAAAAAAAAAATCATGTTTATCATCTCGGTCGCTACCCCCGAAAATTAGATGTTGGTCAGCATTATTGGCGGGGCCCATCTTAGGACTCGGCGATCGTTGGGATTATCGTTCCGATACCCAAAATGTCTTCAAGGTTGAAACTTTGGCCCTGCCGTCTCCCGATAGGTTTATGTTGGAATCAGCTGGTGCTTCAGAACTGGGCGATTTCCAACAAGCTGTTTCAATCCCAGTCTAGACCTTTGGGGGCCGTGTGACACAGCATCCCTATACACCTGGACAGACACGTAAGGTCTAATGCACGATGCACGATGAAGGCTGCAGCCTCACGGTTATCCTTCGTCATCGACTCTTAACTCTACGAACCATAATCAGATCCCCAAAGTCAAAGATGTGTATCGGGCGTTCATAAATGCAGGCTGCTATCCTCGGATATGTTGGGTCCTGACGCCACGCAAGGTCCAGGTCCAGCAGGGGGGGAGACATTCCTTATCCGTCTGAAGCCAAACGTATGACTGGTGGCGGAGCAGAAAACCCAGGTTGTTGGGGTGTGGATGTTGTTGATGAGGGGGGGAAATGGTTTGAGTCAAAGAGAGACAATGATGGCGCCTAGCGGTCAAGCCAACGTGGTTCTCCTCAGAGAGGTTGGACCAATCACATTCCTTAACCCGAAATCGATCGAAATTACTCCAAAAACCTTCGAAAATCCCCTTCAGCTAATTTACTCAATTTACTTGCAACCAGCTTTTTTTTCCCGTTTCTCCTCGGTACTCAACCGTCACAGGTTCCACATTCTTGGTCTATGCACTCGCCCTTTTCCATAACTCAGGTGCTGATCTCCTTAGTACGCTGATCTTGTTCCAAAGGGAAAGTCAAAAAGATCAATGAGTTGGGGATCCATACTGTCTATTCCGTACTCCGTACACATGCAGGGGCTGATCCTGAGGGGCTGCCCCTCGTATACTACGTTGCTCCATACTGACTATTTACTATGGAGTATACTCCGTACGGAGTGCTCCGTATCTTATTACTATTTACGATAATGCTCCAACAGCCGACATGTCTAGCTTATACATACCTTGACATACAGGTGTCGCTAGAATAAGCCCGGTGCAGCTAATGGCAGGGGTGTATATGCAACGAACAGCTGCAGTGAGGTGGCACACCATTTCCAGGGTATCGGGGGAACACAATCCTATCACTGGCTATGATCCCGACCTTGATTCTCGGCAGTTATCATGTGTTTGTGATAGTGATTTGCCTTTCTAGACAGCAATTTACTGTATGGAGTAAGCAATATTCCACCTGAGATTAGAGGTGCTTCAAATGCCATTTAGTGGTTAAACGGCAAAACGAATCATATCCACAATGTAATTCTACCTTTTCCCATGCTTTTCTTTTTTTCCTTAGAAAATGACAGGGGCTCAAGCCCTGGAGTCATCTCCCGCGCTCTCCATAATAAATGTAATCGACTAGTCTAAATGTGGAAAGGTAATTGCCCGGACTCGCGTTAAGGATTTTGAGACATCAGAATCTTGCCTATCACTCCCGAGCTCCGATTCGACTCTCGTACCTGGGAGATATACACCCGCTTTACTCTTCACCGCGTTCTCCATCGAGCCTGCAATTTTATTGTTCCACAAGCTCTGTATGCCGAGGCACACACAGATGTGATATACAGTGCTTCCGTATGTACCTCTCCACACACACAGGAAGCCTGCATCTTCAGTGTTGTGTGTACAATGTATGTTGTATACCGGTGCGCCCATCTACTTCCTACATGTACTCCATAATATGCACCGAGTCCACATTACTTCACCTTGTCATTCCAACTCTCCCCTACATATGCACCTCCAACACACCAGCACTGATTAAGTGGTATTCCGTGTATGAAGTATATGGAGTACAAACTCCATAGTTGATCCCACTAAAAACCACCCAAAAAAGATCCGAAGAAAGAAAAAAAAACTACATCATTATCAGTGGAAATAACCCACCCCGAAAGCCCCAGTTGACCCAACTTGCCCCCACCTAACCCGAGTATCATTTCCATATCGGACAAATGCTCCAACGGAGTCCCTCTCCCGCTTCTTTCCCGTTCCAACAGCGACACAGTGGATACAACATAGAAGGTGCTACGCAGAGCCATGAGCACATTATTGATTTCGGGCACGAGCCATTGCAGTAGACTGGATTTTTACACTTTACCTGAGTGTAAACTCGTAGATCACGGGTCGAGTGTGGAGTACAGAGACTATTGGTGAATGGAGCACATTAATTGTAGCGGGCTTACGGTATTGCGGTGTTGCGCTGTGGCTGTTTTGAGAAACATTTTTTTTGGTTGGATCTGCGTATACAACGTTGTAGGGTTGGGATCTGCGACCGCTTGAATCTTTTGCTTGCAGGGCGCAGATACGGACGAAGATGCGGACAAAGGTATTTCTCTTGGAATGGATATAGCCAAGTCTGTCTTCAATTACGACCCACGTAGGACAATTTCCCAGTTAGGGGAGCGTGCGACTGAGTTTAATTTCCTTAAATCTTATTGTTGGGTTTCCTTGGCGCAATTATCCGTTCATCGATGTGCGACAGAAGCTAGTGGAATCTATGGATATGTATATCCGGAACCAGAAGAGACCAGCCAACAGTTCAACCTGAACTGACAAAGTCAAAATTCAATTCTATGAATCATCAAGCATGGCGTCGATTTCCTCCTTTTGTTTGACTTTGATTCCCTGCTTCCTTGTGGGGTTGTAAAGCAGACCAAAGCATCAGTAGCCGTCATACGTGAACCCGGGGTCTCTTCGAGCATGTTTCAGAAACATCTGGCTAACGTAAATTTTGTCGTAAACCCTCAAGAAAATCTTGATAATAGGTGAGGCCAAAGCGGTCGGGCACGATTCTCGACTCAATTGGTCTCAAACGTCTAGAACCAGCCCCAATCTGATTATACCACAGCCCCAATCAATGACTCGATCATGGGATTTCCCCTTAGGTGCAGGATATTGTACAGTGTTTGTAACATGATAGGATTTAACATACACAGTGAGTGAAATCTAGTGTTCTATGGGAAATATGAGTATGTATTTGTGTAGAATACTGTCCAAGGTAGGTCCAAGCACTAGGCACACATATTTACGACTTCAATGCATTCAACTTCCGGTCCATAAGCACCCGCCACGGGGGCCCCCAGAAACGGAGAGAAAGAGAAAGAATGGCCGAAATACCTGTGACAAACGCGACCAGACCAATCAAAGTGCACATCCATCCGTTGCCGATACCATCGAGCATGGGTTGAGTGACGACGGCATCCGTACATGCGAGGAGATTTCGCACAAAGTTTGCTACAGCAATACCACTAGATGTCTTCTTGGGAGTGAACTCCATGATAGCGGTTTGCACAGTGCCCATGACGAGCATCATGCCTAACCCGAAGAACATCGAGGCGACACAGGGACCGCCCACTGGACACCCTTTTCGGCTGACCAGCCATACCAAATCAACGAGGCCGGGTACAGTGTCAAAGCCAGCCAGAAGTTCTCTCTCATACGGTCCTCGGGGAAGAACTTGAGATTTCCGCTGTCATCGTATCGATTGGTTTTCGTCGCCTCACGAACCATAATGTGGTCTATCCAGCGACCCCCGAAAACCGACGAAATGGCGTAACTATGCTGTTGTTCTTCTGTTCTTCGGTCTGCGGATTGCGCTCACGCTTTGCAATCGTCTCCGGTAAACATAGGTAAATCAGCAGCAGCATCACGCCACCGAAGGCCGTGAGGAGCTAGAGAGTACTTTGCCAGCCGAGACCATGAGTGAAAGCACCCCCCAATTACGGGAGCTAGACCGGGCCAACAGAGAGGGCCTAGCTGGAAGACTCCCATAGCTTTGCCTCGCACTTTCGGATCCCTGATATCGGCCACTATTACTGTGCCCACGGACTGGACTGAAGCTGCGGCTCCACCGCCGAGGACTCGGAAAATGATCAGCACTGTGATGTTGACGCTGACGGCGCTGATGTAGGAGAAACCAGGAAGAGGGAAAAGGAGAGGAGGTAGATGGTTCGTCGTCCATGCTTTCGGACGGCGCGGGCCTATAGTTCGTGGTTAACAAGGTCCTCATAACACGCTTCTCACTGGGTGATAATATCTGCAGGTCTACTTACCACTACATAGGAGTGAAAGCTATGGCCAGCATGTACAACGCCAGAGAAAATTAGGGTATTTAGCCAATTGGGGCAGACGTTAGATGCCTAGGCTCCGCTACTGTGAGCTTGGTGGCAGACCCGTGTAAATCCCCTTGTATTTTCAGTATTCCATGACTCGATGCTGAGGTCTAATACGTTATGAGTCGCGATATTTAATATAAATAGCGTGTAGTTACATATGGGGAATTCGACTCGGAGATAACCCTGGAGTAGAACATGCCGAGCCGACTCTGATGGGACTTCGACACTTTGTAAGTTCTTAGTCTCTTATAGCTTGCATACTAACTAATTATGGCAGTTCAATGATATTCTCGCTGTTTTTGCTTCGTCTGATTCAAGTACCGGCAACTTGATTTTGTGAAGGGTTACATGGTTTAGAATACGTTATTTATATACCCGTAGATAATTATGTGCAAATATATATATGGAAATGCTTCGGTCTCCATTGGTTTCCTAATACATGGCTTGAAGGAAGAACCAATATATTTGCCTCACAAAAAAGACCAGTGGGCACAACTCAGTCGTTTATTTTGTTTATTTTATTTTATCTTTTGAAATTAAAAAAATGCTCAATACCGCTCGAAGAATCAATCATCTAGGCGCAATAGTTGCTGTCAGGTAATATTTTGGTGGATGGGGGTACATGATACCTGATTCTACATCAACTGGCAGGGTAGTCTAGTGGGTAGGAAACACTTCAGCTCTACTATCAATCGTACATTTCACTAACAAAATCTCAGTATGCTTCGCGCCTAGAGTTCACCCAAAGCATTATTGCGCGAGGTCCCCGTCAATCCCGGGCTCGGGACCATCTTTTTTTGTTTTTATTTTATATATATTGTTAATATAATAATATACCATTACTCCTCTTGTGATTCTTATATCATTCTAAGTAGAAAGTTGAATACAAGGCCTTAGGAGAATAAAGCAAGTTGGTGCATATTTCCATTGTTTGCCCAGCAGCCTTGAATAGCCTTGGAACCGCCGACGAGATACAGTAAATGATGGCAGCAAATTAGATGCGATAATAATTCTTGTCACGATAGCTATACCTTTGATTAGGCAATATCGCGTTCGTCATCTATGATCCCTGCCACCATAGCTATTCCTTCGCTTAGGCAACATCGCGTTCGTCATCCTTTGACCTCAACCTATTTTATGCAAAAATATGCCAGAGGAAGGTATTCAACCCCATATTACAGCCGTGTCTTTCTAGCACCGTTGCCAGTTCTTGTTTGAAGTCTAACAACAATGGCATTCAGTTCCGCTGCCCCATGGGCAGAAGATACCTCTGAGAACGCGTTTGGGCCCGTTAGCCACCTAAGGCCATTTGACTTCACCATCACCTTCGAGCAGGCTATACTGTCAATCATTCCTTCAACGTTCCTACTACTGGCTGGACCCACGCGAATACTCCACCTGTCTCGTTGTCAACGAAAGACGCGATCTGGACATGATTACTTTTTGAAGTTGGTCAGATACACTTCTACTTCTTATTTAATATTTTCCGTGAGACCGGGCTGCGGCTGATGAGCATGTAGGCTGCTGCTTCAATCAATTTTGCCCTTCAATTGTCCCTTCTGGTGCTATGGAGCGTATCAGTTGCTTCGCGGACGTCGACTAGCATCCCATCCGCTGCTCTGGGCCTCGCCAATTCTACCATCATCATTGGACTATCCTATGTTGAAGACATAAAATCAACATGTCCTTCTTCTCTGCTGACCGTTTACTTGCTTCTCTCGATTCTGTTCGATGCGACACAGGCTCGGACCCTATGGCTTACACATCGAGTCGCTATTGCAGCTGTGCAGAGTGCAATCTTTGGGACAAAGCTTACTATGCTCTTATTGGAGACCCGAAAGAAAACGTCTTATCTGAAGTCCCCCTATAAAGAGTATCCGCCTGAGGCAACCTCCGGCATTGTTAACCAGAGCTTTGTCTGGTGGCTGAATCGGCTCTTTTTGACTGGGTACCAGAAGATTATTGAGAGTGGGGACCTTTTTGCTCTTGAGCCTGGCCTTGGATCTGGTGATGCAGGCAAAAAGCTGAAAGTAGCATGGGAAAAGCATGGTTTGATATCTTCTCCAGCCTTGCATATATCTTATGCTGACACACCCCAGGCAAAGCGGAGAACAAATTTTCCTTGCCTTGGGCCTTTTTCTGCTGTTTCTGGTGGGAATTCCTTGCTGTGGCCTTTCCTCGAGTGTGTATGATTGGGTTCAACTTTGCCCAGCCGTTCATGATCACGGCAGTTTTGGTTTACATAGAGGAGCCGATCACACCAGAGAGCTGGAATCGTGGATATGGCCTCATCGGAGCGACTTTCTTGATTTACCTTGGGTTAGCGGTATGCTCTGTGACCTCGGACTTTTGCTTTTTGTATTGATTTTGCCGCTAATCAGAATAATAGTTGTCTAATGTCCACTACAGACACCGCTTCTCCAGAGTAGATACCTTGTTCCGTGGAACAATGATCTCATTGATCTACGACAGGACCTTGGCACTCCAGGACGGCCTTTATGCAGAAAGTGCAGCTCTTACGTTGATGAGTACAGGTGAGCGAGATATGCACTTTCGCCTGTTTGAGGACGTTAAATAGAAAGTCTGGGGTGCTAATGAACTCCAAAAGATATCGACGGCATTATTGAGCATCTGGAAAACTTCAATGACGTCTGGGCTCGCACAGTCGAAGTGGCAATCGGTACATGGCTACTTCAAAGACAAGTGGGTGCAACCTGCGTGGTTCCATTAATTCTAACCATAGGTAAGCAGTAGGCATACATAGGAAAGAATGTATACCTTTGGTACTTACGTTTTGAACTAGCATGCCTGGGTGGCCAGAAGCTGGTCGCGAAGACAATCGGAAAGAAGCAGCAAAATTGGAACCTCGCAATCCAGAAGAGGATTCAGAATACATCCTCTGTACTAGGTTCTATCAAAGCCACTAAGATTTCAGGACTCTCTGGCATACTGTCTCAGGCCCTCCAGGGACACCGCGAACGAGAACTCTTTGTATCTCGCGCATTCTTCAAGGGAATAATGTGGTTAAACGGTTTAGGTCAGTCGACTTTCCTTCGTGTGTTGTTCCTCCGCTTATATCAACCAGCAAGTCTGCCTAGGATATGGTCGCCTGTCATTACCTTCATTGTGTATGCTGTACAGGCACAAATCAGGGGTGACGACTCCCTTACTACCGTGAAAGCTTTCACTGCTCTGAGTATTATCACCCTCGTCACTACGCCCGCGGAAAGACTACTCGCTGTCTTACCCCAGATAGCCGCTGCTATGGGATGCTTTCAGCGGATTCACGAATATATGGTATCTGACACCGTGAAAGATAGCCGAGTTGAGAAAAACGAATTTCTACAATTTACTTCCGACCAGACAGACCCAGAGGTCGCCATCGCCTTGGATAACGTTACTGTTCTACCTTCACAAAAGGCTGCACATATCGCCCTTACTGATGTGTCTTTCAAAGTCCCCAGTGGGAGCCTGGTTATTATTATTGGGCCTGTTGGGTCGGGCAAAACTACACTGCTAAAGACCATCCTAGGGGAGCTTAGTTGTCTGTCAGGTACTGTGTCTATCAGTTCAAGAAAAATATCCTATTGCAGCCAGAATCCATGGTTACTTAATACAACAATCAAGAAAAGCATAACTGGTATCTCGGACCACAAGGTCGACGAGAAGTGGTACAAAACTGTCATATATTCATGCTGCTTGGATGAGGATATTCGTCGTTGGCCCGACGGTGACCAAAGTGAGATTGGAAGTAAGGGTCTTGCCCTTTCAGGAGGTCAAAAACAGAGAGTGGTATGCAACGATTCCAGGACGCGTGTCACCTTGGACAATGCTAATGCTCCTCTGCAGGCCCTGGCTCGTTCGGTGTATAGCCGCCATAATATAGCCTTGCTCGACGATGTTATGAGCGCGTTGGATGTGCAGACACAAGAAATGATCATCCAACGACTTTTCTCTCGTGATGGAACATTTCGCCTCCTGGGCACAACCGTGGTTTTGGCCACTCACAATTGTACGCTTCTCTTTGAACCTTTGTGGCTAGGGGGCTGACTCGCGATATCCTCGACTATAGCCCGACTCCTTGGAATCGCAGATGGTGTGGTTTCACTCACTTCAGGTGGTCGATTTAACCCTCAAACGACAGGAAGTGAGGCCATTAATAATACGAATTTGTGGAAGCCTAGACATCATTCGGATGCGCAGATACGGGATGGCTTAAATGGAAACTCGGATGATCATTCAAAGACAACGTCTTCGAACTCCAATCCTATCAGTGATAGCGAGAATATGGATCGGACTCGGCAAATTGGAGATCTATCAATATATTATTACTACGCGCGAACAGTTGGCCCCGTTCTTTGCGCCGTGTTCTTTGTTGGGCAAGTTTTCTCAGCATTCGCCGAGAACTTTCCCCAAGTGTGGCTGAGCAAATGGACCACGGCAGGAGGTGAACAGCTTCCTCTCTATTTATCTGTTTATACAGTTTTGGCACTGGCGGCATCACTTTTTACTATTTGGTGCCTTGGAATTGTCTTCCTTCAGCTGATGCCAAAGTCGGCCGCTCGTTTGCACTGGCTGCTTTTGGATACAACTATGAGGGCACCGCTGTCCTTCTTCTCCGCCACTGATAGCGGTGTGACACTGAATAGATTTAGTCAAGATATGACTCTGGTAGATTTGGCCCTTCCTGGTGCGTTGATGTCTACCGCTGACGCATTTTTTGGATGTATCGCTACCATTGGTTTGATCGCCACCGGTTCTCCTTTTATGGCAACAACAATACCGGTCACACTGATCGTACTATATTTTTTGCAAAAGGTTTATCTCAAGACGAGTCGCCAACTACGATATCTCGATCTGGAGTCTAGAAGTCCATTGTACTCACACTTTGCCGAAGCCCTTGAAGGTCTGCCGACGATTCGGGCCTTTGGCTGGCAAGATACCTCAACGAAGATTCTAACTCATCATCTTGACCAGTCGCAAAAGCCGTACTACATGCTATTGTGTGCGCAGAGGTGGTTGAATCTGGTCCTTGATATTGTGGTGATGGCATTAGCAACCGTTGTGGTAATGCTAGCTGTCATGCTGCGTAACAGTACAGATTCGAGCCTCCTTGGCGTCGCCTTGAACAACATCCTTGGATTCAACCAATTATTGTCATACTTCATCACATCATGGACTAATCTTGAGACGTCACTCGGAGCGATAGCTCGTGTCAAATCATTTGTTGAGACAACTCCGTGTGAAGACCAGCCGGGTATAGCCGCAGAACTGCCTACATCATGGCCCAATAGGGGGGAGATCAACATACTGGAGCTCTCTCTCCGCTATCCTGATGGAACCATGGCCCTGGATAACATCTCTATGTACATACGCCCGGGTGAGAAGATCGGGATCTGCGGCCGCACTGGCAGGTACGTTGTATCTCATCTTCTGGCTTTCATTTAGTTAGCCAGCCTGCTGACCAACCCTCCCATGTTACAGCGGGAAAAGTTCCCTCACACTAGCCATGTTGCGTCTCGTCGACTTCTCGCATGGCAATATCACAATCGACCAGGCAGACATTTCCAAGATCGCCCCGACATCAATTCGGGAAAGGCTTATAGCCGTGCCTCAGGATCCGTTCACGCTTTTGGGAACCATCCGCTATAATGCAGATATTACGGGACTCTCCAGTGATAGCCAGATTATATCTGTGCTAAAGCAGATTGGCGTTTGGGCAGCAATTGAAAGTCGTGGGGGCCTGGACGCACTCCTTGAGGACCATCCACTGTCGCAAGGAGAGCAGCAACTCTTCTGTCTGGCACGGGCAATTCTTAAAAGACATACCAGTGATGGTGGGTGTCAGGTGCTAATTCTGGATGAAGCCACGAGCAGTCTTGATGCCCAAACAGATCGACGAGTGCAGGAAGTCATGAGAGAGGCTTTCCATGACTGTACTGTGTTCAGCATCGCTCATAGAGTATGTTCCCTGTTACGTCTGTTGCCTAAATGCAAGCTAATTGTTGAAAAGCTTGACACAATCATAGATTTTGATAGAATTGCAGTATTGGATGCTGGATGTCTTGTTGAGTTCGACAGTCCACAGAATCTCCTTTCCAGGGAAGGTTTATTCAAGCATATGTATTCTGAGACAGATGGGTAAGAGCTTTAGTCATTGTATGTCAATTATTCTAGCTATTTGACAGAGTCTCAATCAGAAGGCAACTTATCAAAACCCACCATTTGGGTGGATGATCACTTTTGTGTACCCATCCTCCCTTTTGTCAAACTTTTCATAAGCAGTCTCGGCATCTGCAAGTGCAATCGCATGGGAGATCACGAAGCTGGGCTTTGCTTTGCCAGCAATAATCATGTCTCGAAGGTATCGGTTATAAGACTTGACATTACACTGTCCAGTACCAAGGGAAAGACCCTACAAAAAGTTAGGTAGGTTTAATGAAATAGTAGAGAGGAGGTTACCTTTTCAAACAACTTTCCGAAGCTAAGGCTGATCATTCCATTTGCGGTGGCAGCATCAGATGCTCCAGGGTCGCTATAGAATCGTTAGATAATCTTTCAGGGATGGAATATTTTAGTTCACATACCTAGGAACGTATAATCCAGGGATTCCCATCCCACCACAAGCCCGTGTCACGCGAATCATATTCTCGAGCACGATATTCGCCTTTTCAGCAGAACCATTCGAATCGACAGCCTGGTATCCAACAGCATCTACCGAGCGATCAACCATATCCCCATTGTGACTGATTATCTGATCGACGGCATCACCCTTTGTGAAGTCTATAGGAATAGCGCCAATCTTCTTCGCGGCATCGAGTCGCTCGGCAACGCGATCAACAACGTAAATGTTAGATGCTCCTCGTAGAGCAGCGGAGTACGCGGCCATCAATCCGACGGGACCAGCACCAAATACTGCAATACTTTCACCTGCTTGGAAACCAGAAATTTCCACACCATGCCAGCCTATAGACATATCATGAGAATCAGAGGTGTACTTCAATGGTAGGGATAAAAGACTTGATAGTACCAGTTGGGAAGATATCTAACAAAATATGCGTTAGTATGGAGAATCGTGAAGAGACGAACGTCAAATCATCAAACCCACCAGCTAGAAGAACGAAGTCTGCTTCATGCTCTTTACCCGGGGGCAACTTAAGAGCATTGAAGTCGGCGTATGGGACACGAATGTACTGTGCCTGACCTACAGTCACTGTTAGAGGTCTTGTATCAAGATTGAATCTTTCCTGAAAGATTTACCTCCGCGATAGGGACCCATTGCGACGTATCCTAGGCCTCGTTAGCTCAACATAATTGGAGCCCAGGATTAAGGTCCTACCATAGGCACCACCAGCAAACCCAGGGTTGACACCGGTGCAGAATGCAGTTCTCCCCTCCTCGCAGTTTCGACACCGACCATCGGCGACGTTGAAGGGCATAACGACACGATCTCCCTTTTTCAACAGTGTAACTCCCTCTCCCAATTCTTCCACGATTCCCATGTTCTCGTGACCTGCGCTTGGGTTAGTGCCTTTAACAATTTTCGAGTCTTCCAGGCGAGGAAGTAATACCGAATGTGATCCCAGGCTCAGCGGCTGTTCTTCCTTCGTACATACTGTATTATAGTCAGTATCGAAGAGCAAAGTGCGTTGGGCATGGTGAAGAAAAACTCACTGCAAGTCTGAACCGCAAATGGCAGCCTTGATACCCGATTAGTCTGCTTTTCATTATCAAGTTATCTAAGTCTTCACATCACTCACCGTAGTCACCTTTACAATTATATCATCAGGATGTTCCATTTTCGGCTTTTCGACATCTTCAACCCGAACCTTGTAAGGTCCGAGGTAGTTCAGCGCTTTCATAGTTGTTGTAGCCATTGTGATTGTGTTTCGTGGGGATAATTAAGTTGTGAGGAGTCGAGGCGCACACTTGGTGGGGGTGTTTGGATACTTGTAGGAAATCGTCACGACAGTAGCTCACAGTTCAGCCAATGCGTACTTAATGATCATAATGGTTAATGCGGAGCTTTACTTCATCATTTGCATTGCTATAAACAGTGATATGAGGGGGAGCTGCAGTATCTCCGCACTGATTTGACGCGGGGAATGTTGCCTTTTCTGGAGCCCTCGACCTTACCATAGGCAGGTCTTTGGTAGTCGGGGTTCAATGCTGTGGGATGATTAGATGATTCCAACGCGTTCGATCGCCATGATCAGCATCGTGGATATGTAAACCAATATTTCTTTCAAAAAATCATGTCACAAGGCGGATAATCGTGGCTTTAGGCATGTAACTATTTTTTAGAAAGCTGTGTCCTTGCATCTATTATCGTGTTGGTTGTGCTCGTTTCATCTTTAGCTTTGAGCATGAAGGAATTTTGTTTCTTAAATCACAGCCTAGTGGAGAGATACGAAATGTATACCATGTTCCTCCCAAGAAAACTCATCACGCAATGGTTTTGTATTGCCATGCCCAACGCTACGAATGTCCCGCATTGTCTGACATCACTCCAGGGAGTCTCGTCCTTAAAATGGCATTTTCCCCCGCAAAGTGACCTAATTCGGGCCAATCGAGCCTTGGCAGTGGGGTCACTCTAAAATTGAAAGAGCCAATGACAGCGATAGCGCGAATGACTAACCTTGGAACTACCTAGGTAGGGCGGGGAACTTTACCTATTAAGCACACGAATTTTCAATGAGGAGAAGTATACATTGAGCTTTCATAAAAACATAAATGAAATCGTTTCTCCAGTTCAATTCAAACTTCTCCAATACACACAATCTCCCTTTTATCCTATACCATGAAAATCGACCGTTTCCGATCTGCCTGGGGAATTGCTCCTGGTCCGAACATGGACAACTGGGCTCAATGGTTTCCAGAACTAAAAGCTCAAGGTTACAGTATGTGTAAATCCCACACGCTTTGAATACTTTGCTGACAGTGTCTTGGTAGGTGGCGTCGAAGTGGATATTCATCCGCTAGAGCCAAGTACTGACTTCCCTCGCCTGAGGGAACTATGCAACCAGACTAGCTTAGAGCTTGGGTTAATGTTAGAGATTGAGCATTCTAGGAGGAAAAACAATGTAACTTGCTAATTTGCGTAATAGGATACATTCGTCTTGGTTTCAGTATCTCGGACCCCGCCCAGCTGGTACCAAAGCAGACCACCACTTGCAAAATTATCGAAGCCTGCTCGAATCAGTGCAGCAATTGGAGCCGTCGACTATGAACTTCCAATCAGGCGAGTAAGTGGTAGTTCCATGGCCGGATCGGTGTATATTTTATCTGACATTTAGCTGAAGAGACCTTTGGGACGTCGAGGAGTCAATTAAATTTTATAAAGGGACCATTCAGATTGACCGCGAGCTTGGAATATCTGGCCGCGTCTACCATGAGACACACAGAAACCGATCACTCTTTACACCATATGCCACACGACGCATTCTAGAGGCTGTCCCCGAGTAGGAAAAACTTTGCCTTACATTATTCGACCATTGAACAAGTACTGACATTACCCTAGGCTTCGGATCACGGCCGATTTTTCCCATTGGATGGTTGGATGTGAGAGAGTTCTGGACCTCAGCGAAGGCGATAAAGTCATGATGGACGCAATCATACCGCATGTAAGGATCACACACCCAAGTCCAAGCTGTGATTTTAACACTGGCCTAGGTTTACCATATTCACGCAAGAATTGGAACAACACAAGCATCACAATGCCCGGAACCTACGAACCCCATCTTCAGAGAAGAAAAAGAGTGCTTTGAGAGGATTTGGAAAGATGTCATCCGTTCGCGCGTCAAGGATGGAGCGACAAAAAGGATTGTTTTTGTGCCAGAATATGGGTTGGTCCTCTATAATTTCCCGACTGCAGGCTCAATGCTAACTTCTTAGACCATTCCCATATCACCCAATTGGGAGTGCCAAAACCCACGGCCAAGTTGCGGATGAAGAGGGCCAACGGCTGCAGGTTCTTTTCGATGACTTCGCTGCAACCTTGAACGATGCTTGATTGGGATCCGTCATGATGTGCCCCAATGTTTTAGAAGAATTCTTTTTTCCTTTGATATAGCTTGTATAGAATGTATTTAGGAATTTTGTTTTAGCGGAATCATTGCTTTTATTGTGGTCTCTGATCGTACTTGATCTGATGCGCTTTTTAGAAAGCCCAACGGGGCGAATCTGAATGGAGACGCTTTTTGCAACAGCCTCTTCGTGTCTCCTTCTTGAACCGAATTCCTCCAGGACTATATTTATAGAACGTAAATGAGGCTGGCGTTATCACGGCTGAGATGAAGCCTCTAACTCCTCTTTTTCTTGCTTGTTGGTCCACCACCAACAGGCAAGATTGGTCCCTATGGCAGCAACGACCCCAGCTAGAGCAATGGCAAAACTGTTTTTATATCTGTTATACGCCCACTTAGATTGAAACAGTTGTGGTCCAATAACACCACCAAGCTGACCGATGGAGTTCTGTAAACCCCAAGCGAAGGCCGTTCCCGTAGCCCCTCTCATAGTAGCCGAGCGCCACGAGATGAAGGGAATGTAATAAATATTGACGAAGAAGGTGCCTAACATGCATGCAACATATAGGCCGGGTGTGGCAGAAACGGCGAAGAAAAGGATGAAGGCGATGATCATTCCCACATTATACGCCCTGAGAAGTTAGCGATGCTCTCATGACACAAGGAAATGACATACATTAGCTGGACTGGTTTCGAAAGGCTAGCGTGTCGCAGGATCAACGAGCCAAGTACCACGCCAATGATGCCTGTGGCAGCCGGTGGGATGTTGAGTAGCTGGTTGGCCGGTAGTTTTGTAAAGCCGAAACTGGTGGTGAGAGTTGGGAGATACCACTGAAGCGCGTACATTCCGAGATTAATAAGCATCTGTGAGAAGGTAAAAGACCATTGAATGGGTGATCGGAGAGCAGCGAGGATCTCCTTTTTGCTGAAGGCCGGATCGGCTGTTTTAGGAGCACGGTCACCGAGCCGAGCCTCAATAAATTCTTGTTCGCGTGGGCTGAGCCATTTGTTACTCCTCGGAGATTTGGGGTAATCAGGGAGCACGAGAAATATAACACCCGAGAAGAGAATAGTGATGATACCCTCAATTATGAATACCCTATACCATTCTCCATTAGCTTGACCTCACGCGCAAGAATCAAAGTGTCCAAGGGAGATACATACCACCGCCATGCACTCAGTCCCCGTATCCCATCCATGTAGCTTATACCATAACAGAGCAGCGATCCCACAATCGATGAACATTGGGATATGCCTAGCAGCCACATAACGGGGGTAGCCATTTCGTCGCTCGGATACCAAGAGTTAAGCTGTGTTAAAATTCCTGGATAGGAGCCGGTCTCAAGGACTGCTAGTAGGAAACGTAGGGCGAGCAAGCCCTGGCGGTTTTGTACAGCTGCCTGGCAAGCTAGAACAATCCCCCATGTGAAGAAAATTCGTGTCTGCCACAGCCTTGGAGTCATCTTCTTAAGCAGGAGATTGCTCGGTGTCTCGAAGATGATATACCCAATCTATCTGGTTAGAACCATTATAGGGTATGGAGTAAGACACATACTGTGTATATAGAGGACACCCAGTTGTACTGGTCAGCAGACATATTCAGCTCATTGAGAATGTTGGACTGCTCCCCAACCTGCAGGACTTTGATGCTGGAGACGTTGTTCACGTCAATCTGACTCTTAGTATTCTGGGTCAAGTCTGGGGATAGTAAGACAAGAAAGACATACCTGCTTAACCATGTACATTAAACCAATTAACAAAAGGAAGCGCTTGTCAACCTTCCGTCGAATATGTTTCTCCTCTTGTGAACTGAAGCTAGCCAAGAACTCCTCTCGGTCCTTAGCAGTCGTCTCGACAACCGGCGTTTTAGAAATGTCACTCATCATGCCCGTATTTCCAGTTGCTCATTCAAACCGTGATTCAGTTTTCAGTGGCCTTTTATATTCAATTTTAATAGTATCCTGGCTGATGTTAGAGTGTGGACGGCTTGATGGTGCCATATCTACTAGTATCACGCTCCCAGATACTAAATATGCAACATGATTTTGTGTATCAATCTAGTGTGATCTCCGAGCAACGCCTAAGCATCAAAATCTCCAGATGTATAAAAAAGAAACGATATAGGCTAGGCACTTGACTGTTTTATCGTTGTATTGCTCCTAGGGTTTAATATCCAACCTCAACTATTAAGTAGACCTTTTTTTTAAAAGAATTTAGTTGAATGTTTACTCTTACATCCACCAAATTCAAATATGTTTATACCTTTAAACTAATGCCGAAGATTAGCCAGAACCAGCCGCCTAGTCTGTTTCTCTTGCGGGGGAAATTGGCAACTATCGCGCATGATGACGCCTTTCCAATGTATTACTCCCTCACGCAGAGTGCATGTAGTTTTAGTGAGTTCTAAGGCGTGCTAAGGCGTGCTCGCCTTTACTCGGTGAGCAAAATGCGACAAGGTGTGAGCACTAAAATGGAAAAGGAAAGCTACCTACATTTGTAATCGGGTCCATATGTAGGGATGTATATGCTAGCTTTAGATAGTAGAACAATGGACGTTAGGCACCTACCTGGTAGTGACCTGCTATTGGTAAGCAAACTATATTTCCAAGGCTGCTTCCCTAGGACTTAGAAGCCTCTCTGGGAATAATGTGAAAGGTCAATGACCAAAGTCTGATTTTTTTTCCAAGATGACGAAAAGACTTGGATTTCTGTCGCCATACCTGAAGGACTTCATATGGGTATTGTATATAACATAAAATCCTCGGAAAGCCTCATGAAACATCACGTAACAAGGGCGTATTCCCATCGATATCAATTCCAAATCTGGTCCGCCTATCAATTGCCCGTTCGTTAACATCACCACTCTCCACTGCCGAGGTACGGCCTCCATCTTGGATTTCAATCCCAACACTAGATACACTCGAACCACTCGAAGCCGAAGCATCAGACTGACTCGGTTCTTTTTCAACCTCCCACCACCCCATTGAAAACACACCCTCAAACAAACCCCTTTTTCTCAAACCCGCATCAGAATACTCCGTACCCCTCAAAAGTTCCAATAACCTTGACTCAGCAACGAGACTCGCAACTGAAGCAATACTACACGGACTCTTGGGCAGAACCTCCTTTGTCCGCATCATGCAAAGCACAGAAAGTGCACAAATTACCATCCCGGCCAATACGCCATCCAAGATGCGCGTGGAGATTTCACTTTGCACGAGATACTTCCGGCCATCATGGAAGACGCCTTCGTAAATAGGCGCGTGGCTCGTAGCAGGCTCCACGAACCACGTAGTGTTCAGCGGGTCATCGAAGGATTCCCGCCCATTAGAATTGAATAATTGCGCCATGATGATGCCCCAGACTGTATTGAGACGCGCTGCTAGGACAGTCGGGTCGAGGAGTTCTTCGGCGGGGACACCGTGGACGCCATCAGTTAGAGCGCTGCGGAGTATGTTTCTGACGTTAGGGTTTGTTTTGAAGAGGTAATTCTCGATCGTGCTTAGTGGAGGAAAGGAATCAACTGTCGTGTTGAAGACTGTTCTATTTGAGTTTGGGACAACCCGGGGGTGGATGTCGGCGTCGATGGAGAAGGAAGGGAGCTGAAGTCTTGTGTCGACGTCTACTTCTTCTATTGTCGCATTGCAGTTCAGGAAATAGTATTTGGTCGACAGAACTTGGTCGTTATATACACCGTATAGTATGTTGTCAGTGGAGCAGTTTGAGGTTGCATTTTCGGCCGGGACGAGGTAAGTACCTCGAAGGAAGTATGTCGTGTCGTCCAACGGGTTTCCCCCCTCTTATACTCATAGCAGGGGTCATCAGAGGTGCAAAAGTATCCAGTGCTTGCAGTGGAACAGTTAATTGAGGTTTTTTCACAAGTGAGCTGACTGCGAAGGGCGGGGATGCGGGCGTCGATGTAGCCTGCGCCTGGGGGGATGGTGGTGTCGAAGAGGGCGAATTGCGGGAAGGCAAGATTGTTGTATGTCCATTGGGGCTCGGATAGATTGAGATGGATGATGAGGCCGGCCGTTTTGTCTGTATTAAAGTCCACCACGTCACTATATTTCAACTCGTCGCCACGAGTGGGGTCTCCTAGATTCCAGCGGGTAGTTTGCGTGATATTCATTGGGGATGTTGGCCACGAGGCTTCGGCGGTATAAAGACCGGATACCACGATTGGGTTTATTGCTGCAAGAAGGAGAGACGTTGTGGCTGCTGCGAGGGCCCATTGTTTCTTTTGGAGATTGTCAAATACGCCGTAGAGGGCGATTTTGCGAAGCTGGTTCTCGAAGATGGTTGTTTGTGGTGGAGCAGAGCCTTCACGGAGGAGAGCGTATGGTTGGACGATTCGTGCACCAAACTCAACGGATGCAAACACGACGCGGATGATAAACATGACCAATGCTGGGATATAGGTCCAAATATAGTGAATATAAGGTGACTTTCCATCGACCAGGGTGATACCATGTGTACTGGAGGAAATATGGTAGACAACCTCGAGGCCTATAATCACGGCGATGGGAAGGGCAAACACGGAAATCTTTATGAGCCATGTGGTTGAGAATGGATACCACCATGTTGGCGAAGAGGTCTCATGTTCACTGGATTTGGCGCCTTCAGGTGCCGGCTCATCCGTTGATTCATTCTGTGGAAGTAGCCTGAACGCTTCCTCCGTGTGACTTGAGGTATAAAGTATCTGGCCCAGCCTAGTATCTGCCATTTGAGATTCTGTCTTGAGCTGTGATCCTTTGAATGAGGTCATAAACTCTGGGCTTTGGGCAAAGACAGCCGTCATTCCCCCAATAGACCCCGTGTCACGCGGGCACACAGCAACCGGGATAAAGAAGCAAAGGAGGGTGGTGACAATGGCAATCAAACAAACTAGTAGAGCTGCCATCAGCCAGAATGACAGCTGACGCACAAATAGGCGCTCCTCAATAAACTGCCCCGTTCCCTCAATATTGTGCGGGTCAGACTGAAGCAGCTCGTACTGCATGACCTGCCGCATAAGACACGAGAACTCGTTTTGCATGGCATCCGTAAACGCCGGCATATCATTCCAATACACCTCTTGTGGCGTGTCCTTGCGCCCAGTAAAGTGAAATTCTTCCTTCGAAATAACAGCACTTCCATAGGCCTCGGTAAGACTCAAGGAGCGGAAGCTACTATGTAAAATCTTTGCTGGTGACACATTCGCGATTCCCTTCGTGGCCTTCAAGTGTTGTGGTTGGATATCTGCTGATATTGCACTTTGTCCAGGCTCACGCCAGATTCTGACTGGACCGCGATACGCATTATATCTAGGCTTGCAGACAACCAGGTGAATAGGAGGGACATTCCATGCCAATTGCAGCGATTGATTTTTTGGGAGCTTAACGTCAACCGTATTGACGACAGCCGCCCAAACTCGCCAATCAATGGCCCAGTCGACAAGCAAATTGTTGCCGACAGCGTAGGCGTTGGCACTTTCACCTCCACATGCGGTTAGATGCATCTCAATGCTGATATTCTCCTTGTTCAGTATCGATTCGATGCTGCTGGCGGGAATCTTATAAGTACATCCGTCCGGGGCTGACCATATTGTGGTATTTCTTTCCACGTATGTTTGGCTGCCTGTACCATTCCAGTTTGGCGACGGTATGAGCCCGGACCCCCAAGTCACAGTTCCGTTCTGACAATCAAGGGAAGGCTCAATGACTTCTATATCCGCCTGATATTTCGGGCCTATTGGGATAGTATTGTTTCCGGTCGCATATGAGCTGTCTGGTTGGAAAGGCGTGTAGATGTAGGGTTCGTGGAGACCGAAAGGACGCGTTAAATTACGGGCAGCGAATGCAGAACAGGCGGCATATGACCGGGAGTCATAATGAGTCGCCGTATAATTGGCCCCGCTAAACGCTTTAGGGACGGTCAGGCTCGAGGGACGAGTGATGGGCACTGAGTCGAGTTCAAAGAGACCCGTTGAAAACACAGTCACGCCGTTAAGAAGCAGCGAGCCTGCCACACAGAGAGATACCAGAAAGTGCTTTTGCTTAAGGGATTGATATAGCGATACAACGTTCCATTTCGACATGTAGTCGAGGAATATACTCTGCGAAGCTGGTGTTAGACCCCGGTGCATCAAAATCCACGGCATGAGCTGTGCGGCGCGGTATTCAGCCTGCATCCAGCCAGCTGTGAGGATCGTGAATACTACACAAACATTAGATCATATTTTTTTGCAGTCAAGTCATAAGCCTACATACCTGCGGTCGGCCCATATGTCCATAGATAATAGTATCGATCACCATCAGTCTCAATTCCCAAACTTCTATCCTGGCGCTGGGTGTACACATAAAGCGCAATGAGCGTGCCGAAGAGTGACAGGAAACTGAACAAAAATACAATCATGATCGGACGGCGAAGAAAGAACGGTGCCCACAGTTTTTGATGGCCACCGTTCTCATTTTCTTCTTTTGCAACAGAGGCATAGTCCCCCAACCGTTCAGGGGACCGTTCTTGAGCGACCATGTTCAAGCTAGAGGTTCCGATGCCATTAGAATAGACGCAAGGCAAGGTCTACGGCCCGGAAGGTTCTGTGTGAGTAGTTGGCATTTGAGAGAGAGAGAGAGAGAGTATTTAATCTGAATACACCGACTCGGGACCTACCCACTTCCTTTTGTGGTTAGTTTTGTCATCAAGGGTTTGCCCCGGGACCGTCAGGGACCTTCTAAGGTTCTGAGGTTCCAAGGTTGACTCTCGGCCCCACTCATTGCCTTTCCAAGGTTTTCTTTCTCGCCTTCAGCCTCATGCACTGCCCCTTTCATTTTATGAAAATACCTCCGATTTGGATCTACACGTTCTACCCGGGTGGTCGCAAATGTAACTTTAGTCAGCGCTGGAGGCAGTTTGGAGTATACAACATAGTCAGTTCGTTTGTAAGTAGAAAGTCTTAGGTGATACGGTCCTTCCCGTACATATTGTGGTGCCGTACCAAGAAAGTGGTAAGTGTTCTGCTATAAAGCTGTCTAGATTCGTTCATTAGTGAGGATTTTATCACTCATCCTTTTCACTTTCTGTTTTTTATATCGTCTAACTTCATTGCTAGGGGTTTTTGAAAAGTGCTAATTTGATGTGGGAAATAATACAGCCCAATTTACCACTAGACCATAACCAACATCTCGGTTCCTGTTTAGAGACGGGCCATATTCCTAGTATGTAAACCCTCAAACACTGCCAAGGCCATTGATCATTGCCTATATAGGTAATTATCTACCTAGGTACAGAGCACGTAACTTACACGAAGTAAGCATAACGGAACGCTTATCCGTGATAGACAACTTCTTAAATGCCGCGTCGGTCTCCATTTGAGGTTACACTGCTCAGCCCTGAAGATATAGATCTATGTTACCTCCTTGGCAACAATTCTGTCAATGTGGCTCCCCCAAGACTATGTACACTAATTTCTGACAACTGTATTACATATACCACTATGGTATTACACAGAGAGATATCTATATATAATTAGTATGAATTACAGTAATTGGTTGTTAAACAAACGAGAGAAATACTAGTGTAAAATGATCAACAGGATCTACATTGACAGAATTGTTGCCAGGAGGGGTACACTCAATTCCTTGTCCGCATCTGTCTTAGCATACATTATCATTATCGTCGGTCTCTCCAGTCCCTCCGCTATATCGATGCTCAAACGAGGAGTGTTCATACGCGTAAATAGAATTGATGTAGAAATTGGTTTATCACATATAGTGATGTGGACTAATAATGGCGAACATTCGCTCTTGCCGCTGATGGTGGTCAATGCGACCTGAAACCATCTAAGGGAATGGGGGCCAAATTACGGAGTAGAAACTGTAGGGTCGCCAAATGAGGCGCATTTCCCAACACCCAGTATGGCTCAGGCCGTTCATCCAAAATGAATTCATCTGCTCATTGAATAATAATAGAGAGGTGAACGAGTGTGAGTGGACAGGGTATTTTTTTCCCCCATTAAACCTCAGCCGTTTCCCACCGGATGACTCAAGCGGCAGAATATCCATACATCTTTAAATTCAAAGATTTTGGGAGAAATGAAAGGGTTACAACCTTGGAAAACAGTGAGTGGTCTTGGCGTTTGGAAGGAGGGGTTTAAAACAGCATAATTTAAAGTCAATAGAGTTAAGGTGATAAATCACGTGGGCGGTGTGGACCAGCCTTACCCCACTTTCGAAAACAAAGCTTGCAGCCATGAAATGACACTAGGCCTAATTAGGTAGACATGGCGTTCTCGAGGTCATTACTATGGAGGATTAATCTGCCCAGGGAGCCTTTAATGAGGCTATAATCGGGTGACCCTGTTTAATAGCCCGGGCTGTAGTTAATTTGCTCCTACTATTTTCCTTCTTTTTCCCAGTTCCCTGCCAATAGCCAATACAACAGTATAGATCTATATACCTCTCTTTCTCATTTGTGCATAACAATATCTAGCGTTCACAGCATTCTAGAAGCGCTACAGGTCACGGAAGTACTAGCATAATTACGGAAGCTGTTTTGGTGCCGATATCTAAGTATGGAATTTCTTCCGTCCGAATCAAAGCCAAATCATCACTGCAGCCAACCCCGGTTTGATGAACATACTCAGCCATGTCTCTACGATGTGGAAGCCAGAAGGTGATTGACAGAAGTAAACGCTGATGATAATCTATCTACTGGTATGGAGCCCATTATATGCTCCATGGGAACCAAGAGAGAGGTCTATCTACCGGCAAGCAGGCAAGCAAGGCCTTGCGACCTTGATACCTTGCTACCTAGATGTCTAAGTGCATCACCGTTTCTCCTCACAACCAATATCTCAAGCGTTAGAAGGCGCCACGGAACGCAAGGACACTGGGATAGCAGTTGTCTCGTCAGACACATTCCACAGCAAGGAATAAATGCCTCCGCCCTCGGAGTTCTCTCTAACATAAAAGCTGGAAGAGATCTCGCCAGAATCCGATTCCACCATCATCCAATTTCCATAGAAGATGAAACCTGTAGTAGTAACATTCGACATATTCTTCGACGTGAAGCCCATTTGGTGGCTCGAAGACGATGAACTGGGGATGTAAAGCATCTCATCGGACCAGCTGTCGTTTCCACTGACGGTTCCATTCGGGTTGCCGATCCAAGTGCTATCCGACGCCTCGACTAGTATGTCCCGTATTAACGTATAATCATGACTGCAGGGTGGATGATTTCACTAACAGTATACACTTGAGACTTCCGTAGCAGTTGAGTTGGCTGGGTCGCCAATCTGAGCCTGGCCTACCACCTTGTCAATATGGTTCCATACAGTCTGTCGGTGAATGTCAAAACTTACCATCTGCATAGAACAGAGAGAGACCGCCAACCGACTCTCCATACGCATAAAGTCCGAACTTCTCACCCGAGCTGGGAGCTCTCCGCGCGACTGTAGGAGTGTACGCGGATGCTCCCAGGCACAGTATGGTGTAGGAGACTAAGAAACGCAACATGGTTGATAGTAGATAATCTGAAAGTTGATTGATGTTTGAATTTGTACAAAGTTTTGCAGGAACCTGACTATTTTGTTCTCATTCTCTATATACATGGTCCTTTTGCATGTCGCGGCCTCGGAGGCAGTGCTCCGCTTATTCAAAGTTTCAGGTGAACATGTAGTACCCAATCGCCGTTTAAAATTTTTAATGGTTTATCGCAAAATATAGATCTGTAGAAAGTTATCAAAATTGGGTGTGTGGACGAGCCCCGGCCGCGCGTTAGCTGACGTTGGTGCTGCGGGTGGTGCTGCGGGTGGTCCGCGTGGTTCTCGGTACCTGCGTGGTACCTGGTATCTGCACGATGTTAATTATCTTGGCAGATAGCGCGGGGAATTTGTCTAGAACTGTCTTGCAGCCTTCGGACTACGTCTCGATTTTTTTATTTCTTTAAATAAGAGGGAAAATGTTACAATGGCATTCCCTGGTCGAGTTGTAGGTAGTCCATTAATCCCAATTGGAAGAGGGCACCCAACGTATGGTGATAGTCACAGTTCTAACGCACCTTTTTTTCCAATTGAGATGTTCTCATAGGGTTTGGAAATTATCATATATCTCTGTTCTGTCTTGAATCTTCTACGATGCGCAATTCGTGACGGTGGTCTGCATTAGGGCCTGATTCTCAATCGTGCAGGCCCACCACTAGATCGATAGCCTCGTGCAGTTCACAATAGTTAAAAATAGCCTCGAAAATAGGCAAACTCTGGATCCCCGGAGATCGGCACGGATCGGCCACTCTAGCTCTGAGCTTACGCACCCTTATACGTTCATCCAAGCCGAGTCCAATCAGATGTTTTGGATTTTGCTAGGTTGTTGATCCTTTGGATGATCGAGACGAGTTCCAATTTTCATTGCGAGGCATTGCAATGGTACAGTACCGGAGAAATTCTCCATGTTGATAAAAGGTGGTTTGTAGCTATAATACCTTTCTACAAATCATCCGACAGTCGCTTCCAACAATATCACATTCGTTGTTATTCCCGGTTTTCTTTTCTTTCTTTTCAAAAAAATTTCAATTCTTCTATATATTTACTCTCTTTTAGTTTGCTACAGCTCCAATTACTAGCATTCTTGATCGGCCTCAAGCGATCATGAAGATTTGGACCGCTCTTTTGGCTGTCGCAGGGTTAGCCTCGGCAACCTCGATCCATCACAACAGACACACCAGGCTTCGACGGGATGTTTGCTCTGGAAACACTGCCAGTGATAGACAGAGCTGGTGCAATTACGACGTGAGCACCAACTACTATGATGTCGTTCCGACTACGGGTGTGACCAAAGAGTATTACCTTAACATCGAAGATGTTACAGTTGCTCCCGATGGCTATTCTCGTGCAGCAATGGCAATCAACGGGTCAATTCCAGGCCCTACCATTGAGGCCAACTGGGGTGATAATGTTGTCGTTCATGTCACCAACAGTCTGACCTCAGTGAATGGGTCTAGCATTCATTTCCACGGCATCCGCCAGAACTATACCAATCAGAACGATGGTGTAGTCTCCATCACCCAGTGCCCTACTGCTCCAGGACAGACAACGACGTATAAGTGGAGAGCTACACAATATGGTACATCATGGTACCATTCTCACATCGGGTTGCAAGCCTATGAAGGTGTCTTCGGTGGAATCGTGATCAACGGACCTGCCACTGAGAACTATGATGTTGACAAAGGAGTTTTGTTCCTCAATGATTGGAGTCACCAGACTGTTGATGAGCTCTACGACACTGCCCAGGCTAGTGGCCCGCCTACATTGGACAATGGCCTCATCAACGGCACCAATGTGTATGGAGATGATGATTCAACCAGCCAAACAGGCTATCGTTTCAACACATCATTCACTGCAGGCACTTCTTATCGCTTGCGTCTCATCAACGCTGCGGTTGACACTCACTTCAAGTTCTCAATTGACAATCATACTCTGACGGTCATGGCTATGGACTTGGTACCTATCGAGCCATTTAACACCACTGTCTTGAGCATCGGCATGGGTAAGAGACCATTTGCCCACCAACTAAATATATCTGACTGACCATTATTTCTTATCCAGGCCAGCGGTACGATATTGTGGTCAACGCGGATCAATCCACAGGAAACGACAGTTTCTGGATGCGTGCAATCCCCCAAGCCGCCTGCTCCGACAACGACAGCACAGACAACATCAAAGGAATTGTTTATTACGGCAGCACAGCCTCCACACCCAGCACGACCGCATACACGTACACCGATGATTGTGACGATGAGGATGTCTCCGATCTCGTCCCGTACCTTGCCCAAAGCGCATCGTCACCATACTACAACTCCAGCGAGCCAGTCACACTAGGCACAAATTCTGAGAGTCTCTTCCGCTGGAAGATGAACGGGACATCGATGCAGGTATACTGGGATAACCCGACACTGCTGCAAGTCTGGAACAACGACACATCATTCACCAACGAGAGCGGCGTGGTTGTACTCCCGCGCGCAAATCAGTGGTCTTACGTTGTCATCGAAACTACACTGGCTGTCCCACATCCTATCCACTTGCACGGCCATGACTTCTTTATTCTCGCACAGGGAACGGGGACGTACAGCTCCTCTGATATCACGAGTTTGACGAACCCTCCCCGTCGGGATGTGGCTATGCTCCCTGCATCTGGGTACCTTGTTGTTGCGTTCAAGACTGATAATCCCGGCGCTTGGCTAATGCATTGCCATATTGGATGGCATACTGAGGAGGGATTTGCTATTCAGTTCTTGGAGAGGTATTCAGAGGCGCGGAAGTTGATTGATTATGATACTTTGAATTCCACTTGTGAGGCATGGAATGCATATGTCACGGAGACTTCGCTTGAGCAGGAAGATGATGGAATATAGATATGCAGACAGTGGCGGGAGCATGCATTTGAGGGTTGGTTTCACCGTTGGTGAATTCGATTAACGTGGAAAGGATGATTACTTGTCCTTTATTGGCCTTCATCCTGACTTGTTCCCTGTCTCTTGAAATACTGAAAGCCGCTACCGTTGATGTGGATGATCAGGGGTTGATATTTATTCATCGTATGTGGTCCAGAGCTTTGTTTGATTCTTCTAGAAATGAACGAAATCCGGCAAGTCTTCAACAATTCGACCCAGAGTCGACTCAGAGTCACCGCGGTATCGTCTATTATACCCATCTAGAAGCCCAATAATAGTCTCATTCCGTCACTCAGAATATTAGGATCGACCTCCCTGTTAGCAAGAAGCACATTCATAGCATCCACGTGTCCCCCAGCAACAGCATTTATAAGAGCCGAGTATCCACCCGAAGTTTGTTAGTTTGGGTCTACGGTAAGCACAGAAAGAAGCAGTTTCACAATCTCCATATGTCCATTACTCGCAGCCCCTATGAAAGCACTGAATCCATCGTGGGATCCGGCGTCAGCTTCCAAGCCCTCAGTACCGATGAGACGCTTGACGATCCCCAGGTGCCCATTTAAAGCTGCTGCCATCAGCGGAACTCGCCCAAATCGATTCCTGGAATTCGGATCTACATTCTCCGTGCACAGTAACTCCTCTACCATACCTTCTTCCCCCTCGCCGGCTGCGACTGACAAGGATGTTTCCCCGCAGAGGTTCCGGAGATCAGGCTGGATGTTTCTGGTAGACAGAAGCAACTTCACGATCTCGAGGTAATCTGCCGCCGGTAATTCCCTGGCATATGAGGACTCGGGGTGACTCCAGGGGATGTGCGGACAAGAACGTAAGCCATTCCCAGCCGCCCAGAAAAGCGGGGTTTGGAAATACGCGTCGCACGTGTTAGGGTCAGTCTGTGCCGTGGAAAGAAAGACTGAAACAATATCCGCGTGTCCGTTTCCGGCTGTCCATGCACAGGGGGGTTCTTTTATGCAAGTCTTTGATGCTGGGATTGGGGCCCTCACCCAAGAGGCGACTGCAGGGGGCTGGCTTGCCGCTTTTGGTAGCCCATAGTAAAGCTGAGCTTTCATTGTGGGAATTTTTCTTTTTGTAGAGAATGGGGTTGGTTATTTGGTATAAGGGGCGAGATGTTTTAGCTAGACAATTCAGATCTTGTGGAGATGAGAGGTAATTGGCGATTGATATGAGCAATTCAGCTGAGAGGAGTGATAGAGCCATGTTTGTCATAGTTTAATATAAATGAAAGGAGGAGGGGCAAATGGAGTTTGATAGGAAAAGAGGACGATTAACTACTTCTCGGGCAGTGGGGATTAGCCTGGCGCTAAACAATATCTGAACGTCAAAAATCACCCCAAGTGCCGTGGATGAGAAATTACCGTAGCTACTAGCTATTGGGAGAGAAGAGGAAGCAGAAGAAGAATGTTTGTGGATTCAATCTAGGAAGAGTAGGGTATTTATACCCTGAATCTAACAAGCAAGCGCTCACTCTGTCAGCAAACAACGGGAGATGGGATCATCTCAACATAGATTTTCCGTGACTTCGATACTTCGTGATATTTCTTACTTGCAGCTATTGATATGTAATATATACCTGGGGATCTACTCTATCCCCTGCGCGTAATGGCAACTCCCACCCGAAAATGCTTCATAAACCTCCCCCAAACAGCCTTTCCCTCAACTTCCCCAACAGCAATAGGCCACAAAACCCTCCCAGCACCATCTTCAAACCCAATCGGACACCCCTCATCAGTTTGGCACTCCGGTGCAGCACTCATATATCCCGGATCAACAGAATTCATAGCAACACGCCGTCCCTTCCATGCAGCATGTGCTTCTGTCTCTGTTATCATGTTGATCGCTGCTTTTGACATATTCGTGTGCACGTGATGGCCAGCTTTGCTGCTTGACTGGGGCGTATCTTCTAGTATTCCTTCGCGAGACGAGACGTTTATTATGTATCCTGCCGGTGTGGATGGAGCTGAGGGGGAAGGAGAGGAGGATGGTGAGGTGCCCATCACTGGAAGAAGTTCGCGGCAGAGGATTAGAGGCACGAAGGCGTTGACCGAGTGGGCACTTATTAGATCTGAGTAGGGGATTTCGTGGAGGGATTGGACCCATGATGATTTTGAGGGCTCTTCATCTTCGTTGTCGGTTGTTCGGAGGCCTTTTGTGGCTATTTGGTTTGTAGGTTGGGTACCGTCTACACCTTCAATTTGAGGCTGGGCTTTGTTGTTCGTAATGCGTGGGATCCAGGTTGCTTGTTGTCCTCCTCTTACGCGGGGTGTGTATCTGTCGTTCTCGGATTCTGCAACTAGAGCCATGGTCTGTGGATGGTCTCTTAGATGATCCTCTCTAGAAATGGCTCTCACTTCCCCCTTGATTGGATCGGTGAGGGTTTGTGCAGCGTTGTTGATAAGTATATCCAGAAATCGTGCCCTATCAGATGGGGTCTCGCCATCCCAAGCGCAGAGTAATTGTTTCACAATATGTACCAGACGGAAAGCATCGTTTGCTGTTCTGAAGTCTGCACCAACTACCTTCAGTCTTTTCTCCCATTGGGCGAAGTCTGGCTCCGTGGAATACCGAACTGCAGCATCGGCTGGATACCGAGAGGATACAATGACTTTGGCTCCACAACGGAGAAGTCTCAATGCAGTGGAGTAACCCAAGTTTATTCTCCCACCAGTAACGAGTGCAATTTTACCAGTCAAATCGAGCTTTTCTGGTAGGGAGAGATTCGAGCAGCCGATATTGAACATACCGCATTGGCGACATAGTGACGGGTATAGTTCATGAGACTCAGTGGGCGAGAAACGGTATCGACAGATGTAGCATCTTTTCTTCGCATCCGGTGCTTTTGGTGCGTCGGCTCTCTGAAATCGTTCATGCTGTGTGTATCGGGTGTTGTCATCCATGGAGAGCTGGCCCCGCACGGCTAAAAGAACCTCGGACAAAGGCTCTGTTGGAGCAACAACTTTGTGCTTTTGAAGATAGTCTAGCACTTTGAGTGCCGTTTCCAACTCCTCTGGTGTTGGGATATGCATACTATCCATAGAAATGTGTTCATCGGATTTGGTCATCAGTTCCAATTGGCCTAGGTAGGTCTTGATACCTTTGATAATGCTATTGCATCTAGTCGATCGCAATGCTTTGGAGACTTCGCTTTGTGGGGTGAGATGCCAGGCTACTTCATCAAAAATATCTTCCGTAACAGAAGATAGTTGGATTGCGAGATTACTGGGCACTTTTCTCTCTATGCAAGCTTGCTGGTCTTGTCGCAAGCGCTGTGCGATTGTCTCTGCGTCTGGCAGATGAAATTCTGGGAGCCCTTCCTTCATCTTGTTTGAAATTTTCCCAGGACAAAATACCGAACAGAATAGAAAGGCATAGATGAATAGGTAGAAGCTTGGGCCCCGGGGATGACTCAAATGCAAATGACTCAGGTTAGTATTCTCAGCCCCCGCTAAGTAGCCGCATCGCATGAGGCTCCACAACATTCTTTTGTGATCTTTCCCGATCTTTCCCTTCTCTTTCTTTTGATGCCATTTTTCAAAGACAAAGACGTGACAAAATGGGTTATAAAACACTACCAACCAGTTCCATAGTCAGCAATATAGCGGCTATGCCGACCGAGCTCGCTCATCAAATCATCGATGACCTGCGAGTATGGGATGTCCTCAAATTGCTATGCTACGATAATGATCGAGTAGACGCCTGCATCATGTCCCATCCAATCTGCGGCAACATGTTCGGTGCCGACCCAGAAACTCTCGCTAAGTGGAAATTCGCTGCCCACCTCTACAAAGACATATTCATGGCGGTCGGAAAGGGACTGATACAAGATGACTGGCGTGGAAGAAACTATCTTGGCACAAATATCCACTGTGTCGTGCCTCAGAAAAATGGAGAGACTCACATCTGGAACTATATGAAGCACCGCATTCAAGATGAGCTCAATATTCATTGGTGCAAAACAGACTTGACTCGATTCGGTGCTCCTGATTACTCAAACGGTGTTGAGGGTCGACATCTCAAGGCATTCCATTCTTTCGAAGAGCAGAAGACATGTTGGGATGACATACAGAAAGCAAAAGCCAATTTATTCCAGCTGAGAGCTTCAGAGCTTCGCTGGACCGCTGATATGTTGGAAGCAAATTCGGATATCCTAAAGCGCACACTAGACCCGACACAGGAGTTTCGGCCAAATACTGCGCACATCGTGTCGCGGTTGCGACATAATGCCGATGCAATCATGCGGGCTCCGATCGAGAAGTTCGTCTTTTCCGAACATTTCCGTTATGACTTCCTGGGAATCATTCCGTTCGACTCAGCCTTAGACCTACTGTTGCATATGATGCAAAAGCACGGTCTGATAGCAGGTGATAAAATTGTGGCGAGCAACACAACCAGTGTCACTGATGGCACTTCGCACCCATCTTCTATCATCAATTCGGTGCGAATCCTTATTGATGGAATGGCAAGATTTTATATCTCGCCTCCGGAGACGGCAGAGCAACGAGCCGATCTTGCGTGGAGGCCGACAACTAACAAAGACGGCGATCTTCTTCGAACGGCGAATACTCCGTGGTCCGAACCGCTTGGTGGAAATGAACAGGTATCTTTAGAGGGGCCCTATTTCACTGCGTTCAAATTTGGTGATAACAAAGGGTACTGGCGGCCAGTATCACTTTTTTGGGATCCTCACAATCAGATGGAGAAAGAATGGCTCGTCAGTTTTGTCGAGGTCTACCGGTACTTGAAGAACTTGGATGGATAGATGCCTTTCTTGATGGGGGCTGCTTTTGTGCCTGTGGCCCTTGGACTGAGATAAGTCGATAGCAGATGATATTTATTGAGTTAGTGTGGTCTTTGGTCAAGTAAAGGCTTCTGTAGGTGAAAGATAAGGTGTAGCAGGACCAAGATCTCAAAAGCCAAAAGACATCACACAGCAGACATTAAGGGGCAAATTTGCCATGTGCGGATCACCACATTAATGACAACGCTGGTCTTTCACTAAGTGGACAGCGGTCAAGAATGCTGAATAAATTACTACGTTAGCACCTCTATGCAGATAATTTTGGCTCCCAGATGAATCTCCCAACAAATAGCACTAGGCAAATATTGACACGGTGCCCTGCGCATGTCTAATTTCCTGCCACTCGTTCTTGAGAATCCCCAAATGCACTTCGTCCCACCATTTATCATCCTTGAACAAGCACTCTCTTCTCCGTCCCTCCTCTCGGAAGCCAAGTCTTTCATAAGCCTTTTGGGCACGAGTGTTCCAACCAAAAACATTACATTCCACCCGGTGCAAACCAGCATTCTTGAAGGCCCAATCAAGCATCCAGTTTATTGCCTCGCTGCCATATCCCTGGTTTTGATATTCCTTTTTTATATCGATACCAAACTCCGAGCAACGGTGATGGGCCATATCTGGACTTGGGGACTTCAAGAAAAGTGTGCCGATGGGCTCAGGTTCAATCTGGCTGCCTAAATCATCGGTAATTTTGTAGATGATCACAAACAGTAGCGAGTTCTCAATGAGATGCTTTTTGATGTTCTCGGTGAATTGGCGGTTCACGGGTCGTATGAGTGATGCACAGGAGTTTGTGAAGGCAACCGGATCACTCTGGATGGAATGGAAGAAGTCATCATCCTCAGGAGAGTTGAAACTACGGTATTCCAGACAATCGGAGCGGAATAAATCCATGATGATGGATGCCGCTGGTAGAATGGCAGATTGTTGCTGTTGGTCAACGGAGGAAAGAGTGATAGAGAAAGATACAGGAGAAAGATTCACGGGATGCAAATATATATGAGGGGATCTTTCTTTGGTCAGGTGACAGGAACAGGGATTATAATCTACCTAGGTAGTTGAGGCCGTTGGTAATGGCTGGCACGAAGATGCTCGGTCCACAGGTAGGAAATAGTTCATGAACAGACCTATAATCACCATCCACATCACTACTTTGCATAAACAACGAGCAAATTACTCCTTAAACTTCCATTCAAATGGAGTATTCCAGCTGTGGTCATTATAACTATTCTTCACTGGTTGATAGAGAATGGGAAGGTATACAATTAAGGTTTCATGGGTATATAGTATTCTCGAAAGGGCTGGAAAGAGGCAAGTCTATGACATGATTGAATAAATGGTACTTGCTGTTCAGGATAAAAGGGTTAGATCAGTCAATTCTGATTCTTTCTCCTTTTCTTATTCACCTTACGTATAGTAGAATCAACCACGACATCGTCAGCTCTGGCCGCCCTCTTCTTTAACTTCTTCGACTCTTGACGCACCGCTGGGGTCTCAGCACCTCCCGCATTTCTCTTCGCCGCCATTCGCACCAGGTTCTTCAATGATGTCGGCGCGTCTTCTTCATGCATGATAACTTCCACCATATTGAAACCCTTTCCAGCTTTTAGCTGCTCATCTTGCATGACATCCAGCAACTCGCCCCAGTTTTCGACTCGCTTATTGAACACCGGGTACTCTGGGTCATTCTCAGGAGCACCAAAGTACCGCGCGGACTCCAAATACCGCCAGGGCTGGACCCAGTTGTATCCTGCATGCATGCCGTTGATATAGCGTTCAATGGTGTACCCATTGTTGTTGATCACAAAGATAGTTATATCCAAGCGATTGCGAATGATGTCTCCGATAGCTTGCACACTCATCTGAAGACTGCCGTCGCCTTCAAACAGAATCGTTCGACCGGCCGGACGGCTTTTTTCCGAGATCATCTCACGTTGGGCAAGGGATGCGCCGCTGGATGCGGCAAGCATATAACCAATCGAAAGCCAGAGGGCGGAGTTGATCACTGTTGTTTGTGGGGGCAAGACGAAGTCTCGTCCACCAGAAGACGAGGTGCCAGTCTCGGTCATGAGAATGTCGCCAGATCGGAAGAAGTTTGAAATGCGTTGCCAGAAAGTATCGTGGTCAATAATTGCATCGCGGGCCGGTTTTACCAAGTCGTCGAGCTGCTTTTTAGGATTTCCAAGGTCTGGGTATGGGCTAATTTGCGGCAGCTTTGATGTATCCAATCGGTCAAGCAGTTTTCGCAGGAGGGTTTTGGCGTTCAGACCGCGATAGTACGCTCCACAGACCTCGACCCCGTTTTGGTGTACCTCAATGGTCAAGTTGCGTTTCGTCAATGTAGTGAAGCTGTATGTATTGGTGTCTGCGTTTAATGGTGCAATGCGGACAACCAGGTCACAGGAGTTCACCCAAGGCACATATTTCTCTTTACCTGCAGCCCCTGCGTAGATGCCATGAAAGTTCGGATATGTCTCATTGATGATTCCCTTTCCAAATGGTGTTGTTGAGGTTGGGAATCCAGTGACACGAACAAGCTCATCTGCCTCAGAGCTTATTCCATACCGAGGGGCAAAGCCATCGACAATAATGAAGGGCTGTTTGGCAGCATACAGTCGCTTGAGGATATCTTCAATGGCAACATTTTCGATAACTGCATCATTCGGTGAAACAGACAAATCAATTGGTTGTTCAAGCTTGGAAGCTGGAATCCGAGCCTTGACCAGGTCTGTAGGTAGTTCAATGTAGACAGGTCTGCTTTGGCGCAGGCATTGGCGCAGAGTCTCATCGATCAAGGCAGGAGCAGCCTCTTTATCTCTCAGATTTGCCTGGGCACATGTGAACTTCGCGTAGATGTCTGCATTCAGGCGGAAATTTCCATCGCCAAATGAATGGTGTAGACAAAGACCCTGATCCTGGGATGCGGTCGATGGGACACCGACAATATGAACCACCGGGGCCTTCTCTGCATATGCTCCACCAACCGCATTTAGGGCAGACAATTCTCCAACTCCAAATGCGGTTATCAATGCTGATAGCCCTTTGATTCTGGCGTAGCCATCGGCTGCATATCCAGCATTGAGTTCGTTGGCATTACCAACCCAGTGTAGTCCCGAAGGCTCAACATAATCTAGGGCAACTAAGTTGTAGTCCCCAGGAACACCGTGAATACTGCGTACCCCAAGCTGATGCAGTCTGAGGAAAAGATATTCTGCGAGGGTAACTTCCTTGGCCATTGTTATTGTAGCGAGCTAGTGAAGTTGCCTTTTTTTTATCACCACTTTCTAGATGGCAGGGTTGAGTCAAGAAAGAATTATCCAGCAACAGGACAAAGAAGAATAAATGGCAGGAAGAGAAGTGGTACCTTCTTCTCTTTTTTAGAATATTCGTTTGCTTATCAGACTGTCATTTTATATTATTTATAGCCAAGTAAGTGAATACCGCGGGAAATGCGGAATTTTCACATATGATCCTTCTGCCTATCTTCACCATAAGATGAGGATCAGTTGTGCGCCTCCTTAATATAAGATCCACACTACCAACCCAGACGTATAGTATATTAGAACTATACAAGCAGTGTCTTCCGAAGGCAGTAAAAGATCCGACCACGGGAGGCATAATTTCACCCGCGTAGAGCCGAAAATTATCCGAATATCCTATCAGCAAAACGCACAATTGCGGCATCATGAATGAATACAGCTAATTGCAAGATCTCTTCGCGGGATTTTGTGTGGGTTCTAGCTCGTGGAGACTTGTAAAACGCTGAAGGAGAATTGTAAAGTTTGAGTAACCCAATTAGGAAGAAGGCCAAGCCACCCAGGAAGAAAACGCTTGTTTTATATTACCTTTGCAGCGATCTATCCTCTATTAGGGCGCTTGATTTAAGACATATTCATTAAGGCCCATAAGGACCAGCGATTTAGGGTTTAGCGACTCTAGTTTTTTACTCAAGGATGTTAGTTGCAGGTCGCTCTGGGCTTAAAATGTTTCAGGTCTCCCCGAGCGTCTTACGAGTCTTAACGGGCCGCTAGTCCAATCTTGTAGACTACACTACGGAGTAGGAAACACGCGAATCTATTCATACCGCTTCTTGCCAAGTTTCGGGGCCGCTAGTAACGTAACCGAGTGAGAACGCACCTGGATCATTTTGACATTGCCCCTTATCTACAAAGATCAATTGGATTAAAAATAAATGAGCGGCGTCTTGCTTATCATAGGACCAATTTCGCTCTTCTTTCTCCGCGCACGTACCGAGTCTACTAGTCAATGCGACGGATAAGCATCCTTACAACCCACTATACCGTGACCGACAAGCGGGCCGCGCCGGCCGGGATGGAAACATTTACTCCGTAGTGGAATAAAGAAAAAAAGAGTGAAGATCACGAAAACATTGTTCACAAGAAGGTGTGTGCTGGAGTCATAGCTTGGAAAACTAAATACACTGATTTTCCGGGGTAGGACGTTATCGATAGGTGTAGTGTTAGTGTCTGGTCTGCCTACATGGGTGGATAGAGACACCCTGGTCATTCGGATGCATCCGTCAAAGCAATTACCCGCTATTGAGTTCATTATATAGTGTTTATGTCGGCATTGGTAGTGGATGGTGTCGGCCGCGCTAAAAGTCCCACGGCTCTCGGTGGCTGCAATGATAGTTGGTGTGTGACAGGGTTGGGAAATTACTCCGCAGGAGACGCCGGCGTTGCAGGGTTTATTGATGTTGATGGAGCCATCTTGCAGCACTAGGGACCGGTGCTACGTGAAGGATCGTCCCTGTAGCGCTTGATATTGGCGCTACGAATGTTTGTTGATGTTGATGTGCACATCCTATAGGACTCGGGACCGATAGTGCCGGGTTGTAAAACTAAGGTAAGAAAAAGCAAAACCAGCTCAGGTTATGGCTCTGGATTACTGGCATAAACAAAACAGTTACCAGTTATTATGCTGGTAGCAAAGAGAAAGAAAAGGTTGATATTCTGTAGCGACGGCAGCCGCCTAAGAGGGCTACCACGTGGTTTGTAGAGAGCGGTGTACCGGTCGGGTTACGTGAGGCCCTCGGGAGCTTCCCGGATACGACCCGAACAAAACAAAGCTGTCTCCAAATTTCCAAGTCGCGCACACTGTATTGTAGAACCAGAATTTTCTTTCCCGACGCAATCGTCACAGACTTGTGCATCTTACAGCCGGAACCTTCTTTCCGTCATCTGTAGCGATCCCGTTAACTCATGCTGGGATCGCGTACATACTAACCGGCCATGTCCGGGTATGTCGGTAGCCATAACGATGCTATCAAAGCGGCTACTCTCGGGTATTTCTGTGGAGTGGAATGGCGTGATGCCTATTGTTTCCTCTTCTAAGTCTGCAATTTCGGTGACGAATCTCGCGATCAGCTGGCCTTACCACATTCCTTCTTGGCAATTGGTTTGTTTGAGGAGTGAGATAGCATCGCGTCGGGCGGGTGGGTCGCGGCATTTCATTGCGATGAGGTAGAGGGAAGGGATTGCGCCTGAGTCCAGAGTGAACGCCAGGGGTGATTGTGATAAGGGTGTGGTGCTAGCGCCATGAATGAATAGCTTCGATAGGTAGACAATGCGACGGAAAAGGTCATTGAATTCATCGCAAGCTACTTCATGGGTACTCCGACAGGTGCATACAATGAAGTATATATAGAAGTGCTGAATCTCAAGGAGCATGACCGACTGCGCGTATGCGGACGATGAATTCTGAGGAAGTTCTTTGAAAAGGAAAATCCACCTCTAACTCAAACCGCAAACTGGCTTGTCGCCCTATCAAACCAGGCTGGAATGCTAAGTCGATTGTTTTCGTGCGTGCATGGTGTATACAATGCCGAGCTGCCAAATCCAAGTTGTGGTCTTCCATCCCCACAGCAGCGCGATGGATCAGCTCCCCTCGAAAGCGAAGGGCAGCATTGTATAGACAGCTCAGAGAGTTCCGGGCTTCCGCCACGCAAGAGAAGCCCGTTGGTGAAATCAGATTTGGTAGCGGGCTGTTAAAAGACGCGAGGCCCAGAACTGGACTTGGCTCCCCGAACATGGTTGATTCGTAGTCCAGTCGAGTGAATATGCTTTCTACCTGGCCAATGGGCGAAGCCGACATGAAACACAACATATCTGTCTCTCGGCCTGTTTTTAACATCAAAAGAACGCGAAGACCCGTCCTTAGATGGGCAATAGCGCCGACTCTATGCCCTTGTAACATTTCCAAACAGATAAACAACAGACAATACGTTAAAGCAAACTGGCCACAGGAGTCTCGTGCCTGATCAAGTCGTCTTCGGGGTAGATCCGCGGATTTGATGTATTGTCTTATCGCGAATGGCATTCCTGGGTCAAGTAAAATCCTAACCTGAAGCGAGCGACACCGGCCTCTCATGGAGCGATGCAAGGCACCCACTGCAACGGCAGCGTGAAGAATACAGGGTTCAGACTGACTAAACTGCAAGATTGTCTGATTTCACAATTGGGAGCTGAAACATCCTGGTATTTCGTTTGCTGTGTAATGTTGGAAGAAGGTGAAGCTTTAGTATTTAATGGAAGAGAGATTTGGGAAGGACTGAATACAGCCACATAGTTGGGCGCCGGTTATATAACTCTGTCGCCCATGCCGATAAAGGCGTCTTTTGCCCTTTCTTTCTAAGGCTTCTCTACGGACATCAGAACTGGGTAGCTCATACCCGTGGCAGGCTCGTCCCGTGGAAGTACAGCATTCGCATGAAGGCCGCGCCTCATCATGTTTAACTTTCCGGATTCTATTAAGACATTTGAATGTAGAATATAGCAATATATCAAGATGCTTACCTGCACTTCCGACAGCCTGTTCGGCCTCGGGATCTCTTTGTTGTCACCGGCATGGTCAGTTACCCATTGAAGACAGGATGGGTTGTGCATACGGTATTCCCCACGATGATATCTACGCGAAGCAGCCAAAGATAAATTGATAACTCTTCAAATTATGGTTATGGCTTTGATGCAATATCCGATTCTTTAGCGGGCTGCAGCCAAGAGAATTTTGGGGGCCAGCAGACTACGCCATCTCATTGGCCTGCTCGCTAATGAATGCTCGATAGCTAATCACTCTCATGTGTAAATTATATCAGCCGGGTAAAGGCCCTTTTAAAATGGAAGTATTCCCAGTGGAGTATTGGCTCTGTAGCGGTTGTGTGTAATACGTAGAACCCTCCGTCGTTGTTTATAAAAGGACTCCCAATCCCAACCAATATAAACCAAAACGACACCGATTCTCAACCTTTATCGTGCTTATACCAAGACTTTTTGGCTAGTCAGAGCTCATACCTGTCGACATGTCAACCCCAATCCAGATGATTCGCATCCACTACAAAACCAAGTCCCTCTTACTACTGGACTCGGACAACAAAACACCTCTCTACACCGTGAACGTGTGCCGGCAAACACCTCAAATGCAACTTGCCTGACTAAACAGGTCACCGGGTTCTGTGCATGGCAATGTCAGTCTCTGTACTGCATCATTCAAGATACTCGGCATGGACGTCAAACTCTCTCTGCACGGCGATGAAGCCCATCTTCGACGTCCGAGCGCTTTTACACGCACCTATTGGTTTGATAACATTGCACTTCAAGGAAATACCCTGCACTGGGAACACCCACTGAGAACCCGACGGTGCATTGGCGGGTGATTTTAAGCTTGTAGATCAGGACAGTGGTTAAGTACTCTCTCGATTTAGGCATAGGCTGTGGACTGTTGAGGAGGTTGGGTCGTTTGATATGGTCGGGGATTTATCAGAGACTTTCAAGGAAGAGACTCTTATTAGCGAATTGGCGGTGCTTGCTATGGTGCAGAGCTTGAATTTGGCTGGGATGGTTTTGATGGGGAGTCCATGATCACCAAGAAGGGTCGGGTCTGACCGCAACTTTATTATGAATTACTCCTGTGATTCGGTGATTTAGATAATTCGCAGGCTATGAGCGACGTTGGATTTCCATTCTGATTTTGGAATTTGCTGAATCACTCCATGCCTAGATACCTAGGTAAAAGAGTCAGCACATGTTGATCGGTACTCTACAGTACTATGTGTGTGAGTTAATTCATTTACCCCCGACTCCCACCTCAAAAGCAACATATAGGCTACAACATTTATGTATATCCGTGAACGTACATATGTAGTACGTATATGTACGTATCCCCTAAGGTACACCTTACGTCTCTGCCCAGTGAACATTGGGGGCACTGGCACGACGCTAATAGCCGATTCGACGCTAGCGAAGCCGCTAATTGCCTGGTATTCTAAATTTCTATTTTTATGGTACGCCTAGTCCTACTCGCAGGGTTTTTTTGTTTGGTTGGAATTTCTGGAAATGCAATTGGTGCCTTTTTTTGTTGGTTCAACGTACGAGGCACCTATCCGAGCAAAGTGCCCAATTCACTTCTATTTTAAGAGGTGCTATCAGAAGATCTACTGCAACCCGAATCACAATCACATCGTATTCAAAAGCGGCTATACATTTGGGTAAAGCTTTGAGCAACTATTGAACTACGAAAATATAAAGACTTCCATAGAGCCCGGTATAGACTAGATTTAAAGAAGAACCCTATTGCGACCAATTTTTCAGCAATAATCGGCCCAATTAGCAGAATATTTAGCCATCTTGGCTAACGTCACTTGCAATGCCCTCTAACAAAGACCGAATATATGTTGTTCTCCATGCACGAAGGGGCAGATCAATCATGCCAGGCAAGGAAGACACGTGAGATCACCATCCATGATGTTGTTTAGCTTCAAGCAGCCAGCAAGGTTAATACCATATCTTGACTAGGTACCATTGGTCCCTGATTGTAGGGCCCAAGTTTGAAAGAGAGAATAGCACGGGTTTCTGTTACCACGCGAACGAGAGTCCAAAGTTGGGAGGAGGCTCTGAGTGGCATTTCGAAGAGATCGAGTGTTCACTTACCGCTACTAGAATGTTACTTGTTCGTATCATGATTGGGAAGGTATTGGATGGATATCATGTAGCTGAGATTATGCGCAATACGCCTGTCCGACAGGGTCGACCGGGATGGAATTGTGTTGCGTGGGTAAAGGAGGCTTTGGAAACGCTCAAGGCCGATCACAAGGCTTTAGGCACGAGCATACTTGAGTGGAGCACAGTGCGCAATGAAGCAATGGCTTACTGCCAACGGAAGAGAGATCAACACCGTTTTGATGGTCGGGGGATTTTGATATGAGAAAGGTTCCAACTTATGACTTGTTGGAAAAAAAGGAGATTGTCGCTTGAGCTATTGAGGCAGATTAAGTCCAATATATCAGAAGCGCAATTGACGCAGCCGCTCCAATAAGGTGTTGCCCTATCAAGGAGAGGTGGTTTCTAGTATATGCACGCCTTCGACGCCATAAGAATAACATAAAGTATATTTCTTATAATACTTCATATTGGAATCCAACCTGAATATATACATATATATATAACTTCACTGTTAACAACTTGAGGAACAACATGCCATCGCTGTTTTATTTCCACCAATTATATATTCTGTAGCTACTTCTAAAGATCCGGGCAGCTGTAATAGTAAAATAGTCCCAAATAGGAAATCAACAATCATCGTGACGTCAATGCAATGGAAATAATTCAAGTATCTTGCCTCACGGATTTATATTATTCAAGTATGATTTCTATTTTGTGTCGTTTGAAGGCTCCATTATCAAACACTCATTCACAATTCGTGAATACAACCTTCGAACTCAACATACATACGGCAAAATGGCAAACCCCGGAAAGAGCTGTTGCGATAATGGAAATGAACTCCCAGGCGATCCACGAACAATGAAGAGTCGAGTCCTCGAAAGCGGAGCTGCAATGATCCAAGACTTCACTCCAGTAAAACAAATCTGCGCACATCTCAATGCGTTCCACATTTACACCAACGATCCAACCCGATGCGTTGAAGCCAATCACTATTGCACCCATTTAACTGAGGGTATGTAACAACAGTCTTATTTATAGACAAAACCCACCGAATGACCCAAGTACTTGACATTAATATCTCACTCAGATGTCCGCCAATGTCTGATCTACGACTCGCCCAATGCAAATGCCCGCCTCATCGGCGTGGAATACATGGTCTCGCCGCGCATTTTCGCGAGTCTTCCCACCGAAGAGCGTAAGCTCTGGCACACGCACGAGTTCGAGGTCAAGAGCGGCATGCTGATCATGCCAGCACCGGCTGGTGTGCCCGATGCTGTATGGGAAGCGGCCGAGACGGCGGAGATGCAGGATGTTGCGCCTATCTATGGCAAGACTTATCATTTCTGGCAGATTGATCGTGGAGACCCTGTCCCCCTAGGCCAGCCGCAGTTGATGGGTAGCTTTCTATCGAATGAGAGCGTGAAGGTAGCTCATCCTGCGGGGTTGGATTCGTTGTTGGAGGATCGGGATAAGAGGTACGGGGTGGATCATCACCAGAAGGCAAAGAAGAGGGAGGGCATTGAGGCGGTCGAGAAGCATCCCGGTATGTATTGTGCTTGTTAATTGACTTTGCTTGAACTTGGACTGACATGGCTGTTAGATGCTGATTCGTGGTTCATAAAGCAAACTTGATTTGACACATAGTTAAATGTCAATTGATATTGTTGAAGGATGCTACAAAAGAACTTAATTGAGGATGAGAAATCGAAAATGATAATAAATTGTCTAACTGAGATGTCTCCCCACTATGCATGCCTCACGAACCCAGTCCCATAATGAAATGGGGTCGAAGCGAGGCACACTGGGGGACAGTCTATCTAACAAGATAGGCTGGTTGTGTTCATCTTGCTTCATATTCCACACGTGCTCGTCCTGGTTATGTATTTCGGCGACGGCAAGCTCTAGCATTTGGAGAAGCGAACATCCCGAAAGGGATTGGGGGTATGGGTATGGGTTATGGGGTATGGAGAATATATGGAAAGGATATCGACTGTTTAAACATCTCTAGTGATCGTAGAGGTGCTCAATCGAGGCATGAAAGAAAACCCAGGTCCCTCTCAGCCCAGCACCCAAACATTAATGGGCAGCTGATATAGCTGGAAGGCTCCTGAGTATCAAAATTCAATGCGACGGCAATATCCTGCCAACCACTGGTTCAAGACACAGGACATATTGACTGATGATGGGAGAAGAGGAAAAAGCGAAGCAAAAAAATGGAATTTAAATGCTCCTGGCGGTCACATGACTGATTCCGACCGCGGAACAGTTGATGCAGCTCAATCTGAGCAAGATTCCATGTTTCCAATTCCCCACAGATGGAACACTTAATCCGGTCAGCAATACAGGCTGCCAATCTGCGCACCATTGGTCGGCTTGCGCTCCATGGCACCAGCACATTCTGCGCCTGCGCGCTGATCTGGGAGCACCTGATAACTGTCCAGCTCAGCGAGGGCCCGTCGATGTACCCTACTTTCGACGTACGAGGCGACTGGCTCCTGATATCGCGCGTCCACCGCAACGGAAAAGGAATCGAAGTCGGAGATGTCGTGCGCTACGGTCACCCGAACTTTCAAGGCGTGCATGTGGCCAAGCGTGTAGTAGGAATGCCTGGGGATTTTGTCTGTCAAGACAAGCCGCTTAGTACGAGTATTGGCAAGGAGGGGAATATGATTCAGGTGGGTTATGTGTTTTGGTTCTGATTGGGTTCAATTGCTGACTTGGTGATGTTTTGTGTAGATCCCCGAAGGTCATGTCTTTCTAGCCGGCGACAATCTTCCCTGGTCTAGGGATTCGAGGAATTACGGTCCAGTGCCCATGGGTCTCATTAATGGAAAGATAATTGCCAGGGTATGGCCTTTGTCGAAGATGGAGTGGGTGACCAATCCGTTGAAACCGGCGCAACTGGATTCCCAGAACATTTGAGGATTATACAGTGTACATTATACCAGACGGGTGGATTACGGTTTGCCGATGTGTGGCACTCGGGCCCATTTTGTTTAAGCATACGCATGGAGTTTGGTTGGAAAGGATTAAAACAGTGTGCATATTCATACATATATCAAATTGTACAATACAAAGGCTTGAAGACAAACAAGATCAGCGGAACGAAGAGGGGTTACGTCTCTTATAGGGCAGAGGCTCGACTCTCTTGCGGCGCAGCTCCACATTGGCACCGTCGAATCCGATCTCCTTCATAACCTCCAGGGTCGTGTCGTCCCATTGGGTACGGAACAGGTGAGCACCGATGGCCTTGAGGTGGTAACGGGACTGGAGAGTGCGAAGCAGAGTGTTGTCGCGGCTGCTCTCCTTAGCCTTCACGGCGGCAAAGTCGAGAGGCTGGGCATCCTTCTGCTCCATGATGAAGAGAGAAAGACGGTGGTAGGGACTTCCCTTCTGGGCAACAGGTGGTAGCCAGGGGAGAACGACCTGGGAATCTTCCAAAAGCTGCGCAAGATCGACCTTGGTGGCGGTGGCCGAGATGGGGACGTTGACAGCCAGGAAGTGTGTCTTATAATCGAAGTTGTCGTTCTCGACGTTGGGGACATCAGGGTCAACAACTGCAATAGTGACCAACTTTTCACCACCCTCGAACATTTGCACATCGAGTTTAGGCGCGCTTGTGCTAAGCTTCGCTTCGACGAATTCACCGGCTTGGACTTGTCGCTTGCCGAAGTACAACTTTGTTTCGACGACGGGGTCGCAGTGAGGCAGGACATCGGGAATGACCTTCATCTGGGTGATACGCTGGACCTGAATCTTGCGGCGGTATTCACGCCATTTGCGGTCTGCCAAAAAGCGGTAGATGGGCTTGGACATGTCACCTGAATCGATAGAAAACAAACGATTAGCCTCAGCCCAATTTGATTAGTTGACCCAGAGATGATTACCTTCATTATCTTCAAACTTTCGCTTGACAAGGGGGTCGTTAATATCGGCCAGAACCTTGAGGCGCTCCAAGTGTAATTGCATCGCAGTAACACGGGACTTCTTCGCCTTTTCTCCTCCGGCCTCCTCAACAGACAAAGCCTCCTGTCTGGCAAGGCGCTGTCTCATCGTCTCAATCTCCTTCAACTTTTCTTCGCGGTCCGCAAGCAAAATCTTCCGGGCTTCTTGGAAACATTGGTAGGGGAGCTGTTCGAAAGGAATGTTCTCGGAATCTTGGAGCGCGGCACGGCGACGACGAGATCCAATGGGGGCGGTTCCCTGTCGGAGCAACCGTCGTTCAAGACGGGGACTCGTCACAAGAGAGGGATCGGGTGCCTTGTGGAAAGGTTGGCTCGGAGTTTCAGCTTCGGGCTCTCGAACGTTGGCGGTCGACTGGAAGGCTCGCGTTTGGAGCTGAACTCCAGCCACGCCTCTAGAGTAGGTATTGCGAAGGCATTGGAGCAGAGGCTTCGAAGCCCGCTCGCAGTGGGCCATGATTCGAGGGATTGGGGGTTGTGATGGGCTTGGCCTTGAGGTTCCGATGTTGTTGTCTTCCCGGGGAACTTTTTCTGTTCGGACCTAGCCCATCACGTGACCATCTTAGTGGTAGCTGGGATACATCATGTAAGAAATTATACATCTCTATCTAGTTATATCGAGAACTCCCTTGTATGATATATGATTACTATCCTTGCTAGAAAAATATCCAAAAAGAATATCCAAAAACACATCGAAGTGTCTTGACCTGAACTGAGCCAAATGAACTCCCGAGGTTGGATTTATAGTTCTACATCGTGAAGGACTTAGTCGACATCAACCTGGAGCCTTTCAAGCTTGAAAATAGTGCGATCAATTCATATCCGGATCTTTCTCTTTTTCCTTGCTCGTCTTTCCGTTCTGTTCCACCAAGTCAACGAACTGCCTTCATAGGGCGCGTCGTCTCTCTTCCTCGTATGGATCATCCACAACACCATTACATGTTACACTAATCCGGAGGTAATGTTCGCGAAACAAATTCCACAATAAAATATTAGTCTCAACGCCTGGTCGAGGGTAATACCGATCATCTCCCCAAAAAGCAGCAGCGGCTTGTTCCACTCCTTTTGAATATATTGCCATCCTCCTACATAAATTAAAGTCAAGAACCCACATCGAATGATCTCCGAGAATGTTGGACTCCGTTTTAAGAGGGGAACCATTACAGGGCGGCGCAAGAACAATTTCAATATCGTTCCCATCAATCTCACCAACCCAGTGCATCATGGCGGGAGTTTCAGCCATAACTCTTGCGTACTGATTTATATCATTGGTTGTTATGCCGAGTTCTTCTAATTGATCGATATGAAGTGGGAAATTCCGTAGAGAAAAGGCTGTGAATTGCGACGTAGTATGAGGCTTTTGTGTTCGTCTTCGGCCGAGGTATGGCCTTACCAAGCAGTCTTTATTAGGACCGCTAGCGATGATTTCCTGGACAAGGTTTGGCGGACAGTAGTTCTTGATAAGAAGTCGTCTTGTAGTATGGGGGAAAGGCGGTATTCGTTGAGATTGGATCACATTGCATGGGGTGGTATAGCCCGGTGGAAATTTTCGATGGTTTGCGGGCCATCATTTCTGGTCCGTTGACTCGATGAAACCATAGCAGGCTGAGATTTGGATCTGGAGTTGTAAGGTTGGGATCTTTTGTAAGCTTCGGATAACTCGGTTGTGCATTTCAAAGTCGTTTATCAAAGATCGATGAGGCCCACCACCCTCCCTTTTGAATGCAGGACTGGTCTCAGATGCCCACACGGTGCTGCAAAATCCTTGTCCGATAGTATGTAGTGTGAACGTATCTGCTACTTCGATATCAGTTTCTTCGGTATCATCGAATAGGTTGTTAGTCATTGTGTTATTGAGTTGTGTTTCTGAAGTTGTCTTTGAGTCTGTGAGAAGTGGTTATGATTGTCAAATGGTTGTAGTTTTGAATGAGAAAAGGATAACGAAGATGATGAAGATCGACTTTAGAAATAGCTAGCAGTGATGCCAGAATTAATGAGGTTGTCACCTAAATTGGACTAGTAGTTGAATCTTATACTTTGTAGCGCTACGGTTCTGCTGGCACCCACCGCCCGGGATCAACTTTTGCTCCATTCAAGACTCCGGACACCACCAACATATACGTCGATCACCCAGCGAAATTCACAATGCCAGGTAACGATGTTATGCGGTCGCTGAGACTGCTATCCCGCAGCTCTGGCGGACTTATGTCAGGCCCGAAGCAGGTGACGGTTAGTGCACTCCATGAATTCTTCTCGGTCCGGTTCAAGGACGCACTTACTGACAGCGCGTCGAATCATACAGCAACGATGCCTCACACGCTCAATGGCAACCGAAGCTACAACACAACCCCCAGTGTCAACTACGGATGCAGTCCAGGTCGAACAGGCACAACGGCCAGGGGGCCAGACCCCTGTTCAAGTCATGACCTACCGGTGGCCCAACTTGGAACCCCAGCGTCTGGTCCACTACTCCCGGAGGCTACTCCAGATGCCTACCCGTCACGATATTCTCCACCGCGCAGTCATCTACGAGGGTGACAGCACCCGACAAGGTTCAGCCAGCACCAAGTGGAGGGACGATGTGCACGGTAGTCACAGAAAGCTGTACGCGCAGAAGGGCTCCGGTCGTGCGCGTGCGGGTGATAAAATGTCGCCAGTTCGACGAGGTGGTGGTGTCGCTTTTGGACCTCACCCTCGTGATTTCTCGACCGATCTGCCCCGAAAGATCTACGACCAAGCCTGGCGCATTGCTCTTAGCCACCGACTTTCACGCGGCGAATTGATTGTTATTGATAACAGCATCGGTATCGATGAAGCCGCCAGTCCATTCTTCATCAGAAATCTCGTCAAAGCTCATGGCTGGTATCAGAAGGGCCGGTCTACATTCGTTACACTGAAGCCGAATGAGATGTTCTCTGATGCTGTCGAAAAGTTCGGCAACCACGCACGAACTATCAGCGTCGAGGATTTGGATGTGAAGAATGTTCTGGAGACAGCAAGATTGGTTATTGAGAAGAATGCACTGCACAAGATCCTGCTTTCGCATTCGACGGACTTGGCCAAGGTGGACACTCTCTTTTCGCCTTCAGCAAACGGAGAGAAGGTGTATCCGCTCGACTTTAGCCGGATGAAGGCTACATGGAAGAACGTTTAATTGTATTATTCTTTATTTCTTGTTTTTTTGGCATTATCTAGCAGTGTACAAATAGATCATCTATACTTCGAACGTTATCATTTCTCAGTCAGCCTAGTAGCTACAACATATGTAGTAATTAGCTTACCTTTTGTATTATATCACAGTCATACTATGTGTTTCTATTTGGACTATATAAAAGAATGACATCAATTTGCGGTGATGTCGCCGAAATGTACCTCCGAGCTTGTCGGTTATGGGCGGAGAGTTGATCCTCGGAGCGGAAAGAAAATCCAGCGAAAAACTCCCGAGGTCAAAGAAAGCGGAGAAACACCTGATTGTCACCACATAACCCCCTTCTCTGGTTCTCGTCATATTTCAGTTCTAATGTTACTTCGACAATTCAATCGCGTCTCCTCGCCGAGCTGGATCTCGCGCGTTCCTTCAGCAATGCCTCTACGCGCCAAGGTGACCAACCCTGCCTTTCGGGCAACAGCTATGGTACACACCCTGTTCGGAGAGAATCCCGATATCTAGTGCTTACTTGTTTACTATTGTTAGATGTCGACTACTCCTGCTATTCCCAAAGAGCTCCCCGGCGACGAGCGCGATGATGTTCTGTTCAACTCGATCTACGGAATCCGCAGCGTTGAGCTCAACCGACCCAAGAAGCTCAACTCCCTCAATGACTCGATGGCTCGCAAGATTCTCCCTCGGTTGAAGGTTAGAATGAACACCCGGAACTTCAGAAACATACAATACTAAGCGTTGGATGAATAGGAGTGGGAGAAATCTCATCTTGCAAACATGATCCTCATCTCCGGAGCGGGCACCAAGGCTCTCTGCGCAGGAGGCGACGTTGCCATCCTGGCCCAGCAGAATGAGAGTGGAGCGGAGGGACAACAAGCATCGACAGAATTCTTCGGACTCGAATACCGCCTCGACCACTTGATCGCTACATACTCGAAGCCTGTTATCTCATTTATGGATGGAATCACCATGGGTGGTGGTGTTGGCCTCAGCATGCACGCCCCCTTCCGAATTGCGACTGAGCGTACCGTTTTTGCTATGCCCGAAACCACCATTGGCTTCTTCCCCGACGTTGGTGGCTCATTCTTCCTCCCGCGTCTCGATGGTGAGACCGGCACATACCTGGCTTTGACTTCAGAGCGCTTGAAGGGTGTCCAGGCTCTGTATGCAGGCATTGCCACACACTACCTGCACTCGAGCGTTCTGAGCAGCGTGGCACAGCGTCTTTCCGAGCTGACTTTCCCCGACCACGTCGAGCTTCCCGAGCGGTTGGACATTGTCAACAAGACCATGTCCGAGTTCTCTCTTGGCCTCCCCCCGCTTGAGGAGGAGCCTATGCTCATGGCTGGTAGCCTGCGCACTGCCATTGATCGCTGCTTCGGATTCAACACTATGGAGGAGATTATCCAGGCCTTGGAGAAGGAAACCGAGCACAAGGAGTGGGCACAAAAGACATTGGAGACTCTGTCAGGCCGCTCCCCAACCTCTCTGAAGGTGACCCTGCGCCAGATGCGTCTTGGCAAGAAGTGGACCATCTCAGAGACCTTCCAGCGCGAGCACGAGATCGCTGCCAAGTTCATGCGCCACCCTGATTTCGTCGAGGGTGTCAAGGCCCGTCTGGTGTCCAAGCCACCCCGCCAGGCCGAGTGGCAGCCTGCTACTCTCAAAGAGGTCTCAGACAAAACCGTGGATAACTTCTTCGAGATCCCTAACAAGCAATCCCGCCTCACGCTTCTGAGCGAGGGAGATTACAAATACTACCCTCATGCCCGCTTCGCTCTTCCCTCTGAGAAAGAGATTGAGGAGGTTGTGCGCCAAGGCCACGCATCGCGGAGACCTGTGGTCGACTACTTCCTCGAAAAATACGCCCACCGCGAGGGTGTGCGCCGAAAGGTCGTCGAGGTGATTGCCCGACGGACGACGACATCATCTCCCGAAGGACTCAAGTGGGTGAATTAAAGAGAGGGATACCGTCTATAGCTTGTAATTTTTATTGTTGTGTATTAGAATTTATTGGGAATTGGGCCCATATACCACATACCATTTATTGCATTTCCTGGATCTGCAGTTACTGATCGTCTTCTCTAGAAAAGATATAGTATTCAACTGATCAACTCAAATATAGAGATATTTTATATATAAAACGTACAAATAGCACGCAATTCCACCCCATCTGGGAGTTTTCCAAGGTCCTCAGCCCACCCGCGGCATTGCTGATCCGTCACCCAACCTAATCTTCAGGTCTCTCTCCATAAACTCCTGACTAGACCCCTGCACATCTGCTGTAAATTACCAGCAGCACTTTTAGATGGATTTTGAAAGGCCCCTAGAGCCTAGCCGGCGCTCATCAGAAAGCATCAGCACCATCAATACCTGCAGCAATTTGTTACCGACATCGGCGGATGATGAAGCTTCACGACCCCCAAATGATATCCCAACACCAGAAGCGCGCTCAGTACTAATACGCCTATACACCTCACACATAATCTCAGCATGGAACTCACGCATGTTCGAATTCGGTGCTGTTCTCTTCCTAGCCTCGATATTTCCGGGGACGTTACTGTATGCTTCGATATACGCTCTAGTGCGGGCGTTTGCCGCCGTCGCGTTATCGTCCTGGTTGGGTGCACAAGTTGATCGCTCAGACAGGCTTGTGGCTGTGAGGTATTCTATTGGTAGGTTGATGTTGATTTGAATATTGCACTGTGTTGTGTTTCACTGTGTTACCATTCAGGCCCAATGGCTAATCAAACGAGTAGTATGGCAAAGAGTCCCTGTCGCGGTGTCGTGCTTGTGTTTTGTAGCAACCGTGTCTACGGACTCTTGGGCGGTTACGATTATCTTGTTCGTTGTGCAGGGCTTGCTGGCTTGTATGGAGAAATTGGCCGCTACGGCTAATACGGTGGCTGTGGAACGGGACTGGGTATGTTCGAGGAATCGTGTTTGGGGTTTCTCATTTCTTCTATGCATCCATTATACATTTTTTTTTGGAAGGACACATCGCTGATAATTTGATACTAGGCAATTGTGATCTCGGATAGTATCAATGTCCCTCGACAAGGTGAGAAACCTAAAGCGACATGAAGCTCTACAATATCTAATTTTGATCAAACGACAGACTTGAACGCCTCAATGAGACGAATTGATCTCTTCTGCAAACTCCTAGCACCGGTATTCATCTCTGTGATTGACAGCATATCAACACAATATGCAATTTGGACAGTATTCACCCTGAACACCGCATCTGTGCTAGTCGAATATATGGCCATTGCCCAGGTCTACCAATCCGTCCCAGCCTTGAAAAAGACACAGTCTCCTACATCACAAGAAGATGATATAAACAGCGAGACCACCCATGAAACCCACCAAAATACATCTCGCAAGATCCTCAACTTCTTACCAGAGACACTGGCACCCTGGAAGGAGTACATAGCCAGCCCCGTCTTCCTAGCATCATTTGCTTTGAGCCTGCTCTACCTAACAGTCCTATCCTTCGGCGCAACAATGACCACATACCTACTAGACACGGGCTTCACCTCGTTACAGGTTAGCTACATGCGCATCGGCGCCGTGGCCGCCGAGATATCCGGCACATGGACAGCGCCTATTATCATGAACCGGATCGGACCCATTCGGTCCGGGCTGTGGTTCCTCAACTGGCAATTTGTCTGCGTGGCTGGCGCTGCTGTGGCTTTTGTTGCTTGGGACTTGAGCTCCCGGTACGTGGCTGGTACGCTGATCGCCGGTGTTGCTTTGAGTCGGGTTGGGCTTTGGGGATTTGATTTGTCTGTCCAGTTCCTTGTTCAGGAGGTAAGTGGCTACTCTAAAATTCACCTATTGGATTGTGCGTTGCGTGTACTAAATGAACGGTATTATGTAGAATATCCAGGAACATGCTCGTGCCCGCTTCTCTGCGACTGAAATGGCTCTGCAGAATGTTTTCGAGATGCTTTCTTTTGCTTCGACGATTGCTTTCCCGCTGCCGGCTCAGTTCGGGTATCCCGTGATGATCAGTTCTGGGGCTGTGGCGGTCGCTGCTGTTTGTTTTGCGGCGTATGTGCGCAAGGAACGAGGCCATCTACTGCATCGATCACGGTGTATGGGTGGGGATAAAGTGTTATGTCGAGCGGTTGAATCTGATTCCGTTTAGAACATTTGCAAGTGGTTCTAAGTTCTTGTATCATAATTCATGAGAAAATGTCTATATATATGAACGAGATCTTCACAAAAATCAACCAGAAAAGCAAACTCACTGGCTACATGAGCGCCGAGTCATTAGAAACTCATATATACATTTCATCTCGAACATGGAGTCTAAATGACAATGAAAAAGTCCGAGAATATTTCCCGCCTCACACATTTCGAGTCCGCCCATGTGCGTGAGACGTCCTGCCGCCTCGTCATCTCCTCCACAAGCACAAGGACCCTATCAGCAGTTGGATGACGAGTGACGGAAGGCGCCGCGTCAGCCTCGTGGGCAGCAGCCATACGCTGAATCTCATGAAGAATCCACTTGCGCTGGTCTTCTGTACCCTCGAGCCCAGCAATGAATAGCGGCCATAGGAAGCTGACAGGCAGATGGTCTGGCCCGGTAGAGTCAACAGTAGCCAGTTGAATTATTTGATCGACGGCGCCGTTAACGCGGTCTGTGCGAGGATAGATTGCAAATGCAACCCGGTGCAAGTAGATAAAATTCGCTAAGAAGTTGGCCACGTATTGTCGGAATGTGCGGCAGATTTCCGATGCCACAGGCGCACTCAGGATATCAGTTAGGGCTTCTGGTCGTCCGTAGACGTCTATTACTGAGGGACGTCGGTGCCAGAGTGTTTCAAGGTCTGCGCCGACCTTGTGGGCGAGTTGCAGGACTTCGAATTCGTCGGTAAGGGTTCCACGACTGCGGTGGTGGAGGTCGATGCAGACTATTCGTCTGACGACTTGTTGGGCTTGCGCGAAGAATCGGAATGCTGGGCCTACGATTGCTTCGTAGACGAGGTAGTTGGGGCTGAGGAATGGGTCTTCTATGCTGTCTTCTTCTTTGGTGTCTTTTGGTGCTGTTATGTGGCGTGTTTGGGAAGTTTGTGTATCTAGTGGTTTCAGTGGTATGCTATGTTCTGGGATGTTGCCGATCTCAGCGAGAGGGTCGCCATCTCGGCCTGCAATCAGGGACTTGACATCCAGCAGCGAGACCCATGACACCAGGAGATGACCGAAACCGGTCCAATGTCGGGTACGGCCATAGAATCGTTGTAGAATAAGGTACCCGGAGTGAATATAAGAAGTTCCGGTACATATTTCAGGAGATGAGAGAATCTGGGATAATATGAGCCACCTCCGCTCGATCTCGGGACCAAGCAAAACATACCTCAGATAGCATTAAAAGAAAAACAGCCCCCAAAATTTTGATGAGTGTGGAATCGGTCACCTCACCATGTATACAAGCTTGGATCTCCGAACTGGACACCCTATAAAAGGCAGGCGCCCAGCGCCATCTTTTACCTCCCATCATTGCTTTATGGACATCTGCATAGCAGTAGATAGCATTCAAAAGCGGACTAGAATCTCGCGCATGAGCTAGCAGTGCTGGCCGCATATACTTCCACTCGATGGTTATCGGTGCAAAAAGAGCAGCCGGCGGGTCAATAGTCAGAAAGTGCTGTAGCAGCTGGTCCTCATACGAAGTACTGCCTGCGTCGGATAAGCTGCGTCGTGTAGTTGATACGTCCGAACCGCTGCCAATTGATGTCCTATCAGGTGCAGACGGGGTATCTGGAGTAAGTGGAGTACGGCGGTCTGCCGAAAAGTTCCCTTCATCCACACCTGGTGTGAGTGTCGCGGGTAGCGACTGCGACGCCGGACTAGCTGTGAAAGTCATTGGGAGTCCGGTTGTCAAGTCCAAGTGTTTCTGTTCCAGCTCAGAAGTGATCCCGCCCATAAATCCAAGCATATCAAACTCGGACGGGTAGGATTCCTGGTCTGTAGGGAGCTGCCGAAGTGTGTTTGTCGGCGCTGGGATTGTGTGGTGGCCATCTGCGCGGAGAACAGTACTGAAGAAGTTGATATCGGGGGAGCGGGATGCAGACGCGGCTGCAGCCGACGAGCCTGCACTTCCTGGGTCCGCTGTGTTACTCCGCGATGCAGTTGTAATGTTTGATGGACGGGTTGATGATGAACCCCACCCCATGCTGGGGGCGATGGGTGGTTTGTAGAGGCATCGTAGACGCAGTCGATCGCAACTGGAGCAGTTTGGTTTTCTTTCGTCGCACCGGACCTTACGGGCCCTACATGTCAAGCATCCTGTCCGTCGACGCGGGCCGGACCTGCCAGCTCCCCGGGCTTTTGGCACCTGGGATAAGAATTCACGGTTAGTTTGGGTCAGGAACAAGGCGAGGAATATTCAAGTTACCTCCATGATGGATCAAGCCCGGGTGAAACTTAAATAGCGCATACTCCGTACAAAATACAAAGTACGGAGTAGTCGCAAAGAAATTCGACGTGGCTGGTTTCCCCGCAATCACGCCGCTCCTCGGGGATATGACGACGAACTCGGATGGTCATCAGATTGAATCCGTGGAAATATTCCAAATGAGATTGACAGTAAAATGAATCTAGATTGGGAAGTTGTAGAGGTTCTAGAAGACTCTTAGAACATTGCTAATATACACAACTCCCTATAGCGATCTACACGGAACTGCGCCACTATTAGGGACTATTGATGTATAAAGTACTACAAAATATGATATATATACACGTGCATTTTCATACCTAAAGGATACATGATTTACCTAATAAGCCGCATTCTCAGCTTAAAATTCAATCGAAGACATAGAAAAGTGCAAGCAACTGTGAAATATAGACCAAACAGCACCTTGAAGCATTTCGACCACAACCTTCATATACCTAGAAAAGAGAAAAGAGATATAACGGTGCAATATCAACTTCCTAAACCCCCCTCATTCTTCTCAGCCAACTTTCTCCGTACAAACTGCTCCATCCCATTCCTCTCCTCGACAGTTAACAACCCAATCCGATCCTCCAAACCCCCTCCCCAAAAAACCTCCGATCAATCCTCGCCCAGTAGATAACATCAAAGGCCCAACTCCTCCTCGCCGCATAACTGACCCAGAACCCGCCATTATCCCAGCTCTCCCTCATATGACCTGAAAGCCGATTCTCCTCCCCAATAACCCCACGCCGAATGTCAACATCCTCTCGCATCCGCAGCTCCTGCAAGAAAACCCCCAACAGGGCCTCATACACCCTCTCCCAGTCATCAAGCCCGTCTTCCCAGTACTCCGGCCGTTCAAGCAGTAGCCAACACGGCGGACTATACACAAACTCCAACGGGGCCGCATAAGTAAACTCCCAATCAATAGCCCCGGATATCTTATACCCTAAGTCCGAGTTGGCAAGCACATTCGCCGGCCGTAGATCATCGCAGAATAGCTTAAACACCCCTTCCTCATTAGCCCAACAAAGCCGGCCCTCCCTAGCAAGTTTCCGGAACAAGCACCGCGCAATATACTTCGTCCTACAATCCTCCTCATCTTCAATAGCGTCATTCCGCTGCGACGAAAGATGCGTCATATGCAATTCCGCAAGAGCAAGTAAATACTCCGCACCACTTGCAAACGTTTCCGTGATCCCTGGTAGATCCTGCGGCCGCACACCACCAACCTGAACAAGCTCATTCATATTGATACTCAACGGCCTGTGCTCAACAACCCACTCATCATCGAACTTTCCTTCCGCAGTATTAGATATACATCCAATACGCGGGAACGAATGTTTGGCAACCTGCAGCAACAACCCCGCCATCTGATTATGCACCGAGCGCAGCCTACCCTCATCGATATTGGGATCGAGAACAGGCCGCTCTTCATCCGGTATTCCGGGTGTATTCAGTGCATCAACCAGATCAGCGTCATGGTCGATATACTCCATGATAATGAACGGGCCAAAGCCAAGCGGAAATTCGGCTTCGCTGCCGTGGTGAAAGACATGCGGGATGCGGATTCCTGTGTTACGCTCGAGAAAACGCATGACGGACACTTCGTGGTGGAGTTTTTCTTCTGGGAAGATTGAGTAGCCTGGGATTGGGAAGCGGATTATGGCCGAGGCGCTGTCGATGAAGCGGAGACGGATTATCATGTTGAAGGAGCCTTTTTGCGGGGTGAAGAGTTGGTCTGCTATGCCTTTTCGGTGGGTTTTGATTATTCTTGTTATTCTTTTCATGGAGTCTGAGGTAAGGAGGATTGTTTTCCAGGCTGATAGTTCCTCGTCGCTTTTGTCCCAGGCTACTTCGTCGAAGTACATTAGTTTGCCTTTCATGATTGGTGACATTTTGGGATTCATGGTGCTCTTGGGAATGGGACTGCTGGGTTCAGAGGATATTATTGTGTCTATGATAGATGTCTCTGTATCCTGGTGAATCCTTTTACCCCGCGGTTACTCAGGAGTTATTTGCAAGTTGCATGTTCTGAAACAAAGGAGTCAGACTTGTAAGTCATTTCTATTTGTTTGGTCTGTTTGAATAATCCAGGGATTCTTCTACCACTCCCTCAGAAAGGCTTCACAGTCCGCTGAAACCTCGGCGGCTGACGAGTGAACTTCTCCGGCTCATCTCTCGCTCCATCTTTCCAATAATCAAACTCCATCCATGCATTCTCAGGCATCTGAGCCTCAGTCGCCTCCAAAAACTCCCCAAGATCAGGACAGAGTGGAACAACACCCGTCTCAAGCACATACTGATCCCAGAGCTTAAGCAACTGCTTCAACTTCTCCGGCTCGGCATCTGCCAGATCGTGAATCTCCCCAGGATCCTGCACAAGATTATACAGCTGCCACTTCTCCGGACCCTTAGGCTTAGGAATAAAAACGATCTTCCAATCCGCACAACGCAATGCAGCCCGTCCACACGTCTCCCAACCCTGAATAAACTCAACCGGGTGAATCCGCTCCGCCTGACCCACTGCCCAGGGGTGGAAGCTTCGTCCTCGCATCTCGACGATCTCACGGCCCTGGTACGTCGGTGCCGGATGCTTGATCCCCGCCATATCGAGGATCGACGGGGCGAGGTCCATAACCGTGGCGAACTGATCCGTGATCCCGCCCTTACCGACCGCAACATCTGCAGGGTTGATATTGAAGTTTGCAGGGAAGCGACAGGTGAATGGGACGCGAACACCACCCTCGGTGGTATACGCTTTATACAGACGGGATGGCGCGGTAGCAGCCTGCGCCCAGCGCGGACCGTACCAGATAAACGAGTTGCCATTCCCGAGGTTCTCTAGACTGTTGTCGTAGTATTTCTGCAGATGAGGCATGACGCCGCTCTTCACCATTGGGTAGGCTTCGTAGGCGGCGCCTTCGGCTCCGTTATCCGACATGAAACACACGAATGTGTTATCCAGTTCGCCGATCGATCGGAGGTACTCGACTACTTTCCCGACGTTCGAATCAATGCACTCGACCATCCCTGCGAATACCTCCATCGCAACTGCGGACTTTTTCTTCTCCTCCGCGCTGTACTCCTCCCACTCTTTGACTTCCTCCGCTTGCACGGGATGCGGCTCGACATCGTCCCGCACCATCCCCAACTCCTTCAGACGCTGTAGTCGCTTCTCGCGGAGTACGTCGGGGCCTTCGTCGTATACTCCACGGTAATGATCTATGTACTCACGCGGAGCTTGCAGTGGCCAGTGCGGTGCTGTGAAGGGGAGGTATGCGAAGAACGGACGGTCTCCCTGTCCATCGGGACCTTCGCTACCCCCACTGGCTTTCCATTCTTTCAGATAATCCACCATCTTATTTCCATACCCGTCAGATGAGTACCAGTCCTCGGGGAGATGGCGCACATACTCCCCATCCTCCATGTGCAAAGCGATATAGCTCGCCTCAATGAAAGTCGGGAGCTTGTCTTTGTCTTTTAACTCCGGTTCAAAGGCATAGTGGTTTGAACAGGCAGGTAAGTGCGCGAATGAGCGCTCAAAGCCTCGCTTATGTGGCGATCTCTCTGGTGTTAGACCTAAATGCCACTTGCCCGACATCACTGTGTGATATCCCCCATCGCGTAGGACCTCGGGGAGTGCGACGACCCGCTCGTTGAGGTATCCTTCATACCCGGGCATGCCGCGCTGCGGTGCAGTGCTCATCGCTGAGCCTTTAGGTCCGTTCTGGCCGGAGATGTTGGTCCATTCAATTAGGTTTCCTAGACCGGCGATGTGGTGGTCTGTGCCGGTCATGATCATGGCGCGGGTGGGACTGGGGATTGTGAGTTTGATTGGGAGCTAATAGTCTGAGTAGGGAGGACTTACGAGCATGCTGCCGCTGCGTGGAAATCGGTAAACCGAATTCCTTCTTTGGCGATTTGGTCGATGTTGGGCGTGCGGATCTCTCCGCCGAAACAGCCTACATCGGAGAAACCTAGATCATCGGCGACTATGACGAGGAAATTGGGGCGTTTCGCTGCCATTTTCAAAAAGAAACATTTGAATAGAGAAGGTGAGGGGTTTTCGATGGTACGTCGTACGTCAATATTTATATCGGATCTAGCAGACCCGACCTAACAAGCATCATACGCATGTCAATGATCGCCAATCGGCCATCGGCCATCGGCAAGAAATGCGGGGATTAAGTCTCCACATTAGTTAGATCGGTTAGATTGGTTAGATGTGGACTATGAAAAAAGGAGAAAAAGGTGAGTGGAGCCAATGACATTGTAATCACGCAATATCCGAAGTATAAGAGTATATAAGCCCTGGAGTATATAGAGTTAGTATAAAAGACAACCTTGGAATCAGGACCTGGGAAGAATGTCACATAGTGACATAATCCATCGATCGATCTACTACATACAACCCTACATTCCTTCTTTCGAACTTGCTAATGACACCTTTGATTCAATATCTATCTAGACCATGTCAAATGTAAACCCTATATCTCCCTCCTTATTCTCAAAATGGTATAACACTCTCCATACCCGGTGGACCTCAACACCAACCTCCTACTCCCAACTCCCCCAAACACCACAATTGAACCCCCCAGACCTATCTACTATAATGGAAACAGAAATAGCTCAACCACCAAAAGCCCACTGGCGCATATACTGGTTCGCGCTCGTACTCTGCACCGGCGGAGCCTTGTTCGGCTATGACTCGGGCGTAATTGGTGAGTAACATTACACTACACCTACACTCCCTCCAACCTCTCTACCTCTATACCTAGCTACCCATCTAAAAATTCCAATTTATTCCAATCTATCCCAAGTCCATACTAATACCACGCAGGCGGGGTCCTAACCTTCCAAACCTTCCAAACCTCCTTCTCAATCCCCACCACCAAAAAAACCCACACAAGCGCCATCGCCGTAGGAATCCAACAAGCCGGCGCCTTCACCGGCTGTTTCCTCATCTGGCCAATAACAAACCACTACGGCCGTCGCGTCGCAATGGGATTATGCTCCGCGATCTTCAGTCTGGGCGTGATCCTCGAAACAATCGACTCCCATTCCCTGTCCGTATTCTACCTCGGCCGTGTAATCTGCGGACTAGGCGTCGGTGGCTCTGCAACCGTGATCCCTATCTACATGTCCGAGATGAGCCCGAAGGAGATTCGGGGCAGATTGGGGAGTTGTTATCAGCTCACGTATACGGTTGGGATTCTTGTTTCGTATTGGGTTGATTATGGGGTTAAGATGATGGGGGAGGAGATGGGTGCGCGGCAGTGGCAGGTTCCTGTTGCTTTGCAGCTTGTGCCGGGGGTTTTGATGGGGGTTGGGATGTTGGGGGTTAAAGAGAGTGTTAGGTGGTTACTTGCGGTGGGGAGGGGGGGCGGAGGCGTGGGAGAGTCTTGTTTGGGTGAGGGGTGGCGAGGGGGGAGGGGCTAGAATGGAGTTTGAGGATATGAAACGGGGATTGGAAGAGGAAAGGGAGATTACTGACGGGGTTTCGGCTTGGGAATTGGTTGAAGGGGGGAATTTGAAGAGGATGGGGATTGCTGGTGGGTTGTTTCTTGCGCAGCAGTCGACGGGGTCGACGGCATTGGCGTATTTCGGACCGCAGTTTTTCGAGTTGCTTGTTGGGGCTGGTGATAAGACACTTTTATTGACGGGGATATTTGGCGCGATTAAGGTTGTTGCTTGTTTGATTTTCGTGGTGTTTTTGTCTGATCGGTTTGGGAGACGGCCGCTGTTGGGTGGTGGTGCGGCGTTTATGGCGGTTTGTATGATTGTCACTGCGGTTCTTGTGAAGACTTATCCTCAGCCTGGAGATGGGACAGTTACCTCTTCGGGGATTGCTACGGTTGCCTTGATATACCTCGATATCATCGCTTACAACTTCAGTTGGGGTCCGTTGCCGTGGCCGTGTGCGAGTGAGATCTTCCCGACGCGCATTCGTGAGCCTGGCGTTGCGTTCGGTGTTGGGTCGCAATGGTTGTTTAATTTTGTGTGGAGTTTCTCGACGCCGTACATTCAGCAGAGTCTGGGATGGGGTACATTCTTGCTCTTTGGATTGCTGGATGTGGTGATTGTGGGCTTTACCTACTTCTGTCTGAAGGAGACGGCTGGCAAGTCTCTCGAGGAAATCAATGGGTTGTTCGATCGGGTTGATTTGGATGCTGAGCATGGGTGGAAGGATCTAAATCATGATACTGCATCGCATGTACCTGTTGAAAGACATCAAGATGCGCGGATTGATGCCATACCAGTGTCCAAGCATCGGACGGTGCATGTCGAGTCAACCGCTAGGCGGTCTTAACTTGTTACATCGTCAGTTCTCTTTTATCTACCATGTAAATATTGATAGAAACAAATTCATTTCCATCTATGTTATTGTAGAAGATACATCCCAGGCAACCAGGCTATTGCCCACAGCAATAATCCACCCCCTAGCCAATTGCCTTCAAGGCAGCTAGAATTGACAAACACAATACCGAATATCAAAAGCTTCCGTTTACTCAAATCGGAATTAAAACGCCAAACACCCTCCAGTTCCACTGGATCGCAATTCAAAGGGTTGCCAAAAAAAAAGCCCACAACGCCGGACAGACCTGCTGCCCCTCATTACCTCCACATAAAAAGTTCGTTATCACATAAGCACTCCTGTTCACACTCACACATTGATCAAATCATCAAATGTATCCTCCGCCGAGAAAGAATACGACCCCTCCGAGACAAGCGAAGCTTCCGACTCACGACGCATCTGCTGCTCAAACGCCTCCGCGGCGGCGGCTGCCGCCGGCTCAAGCTGGAGGGGATCATCAAAGCCAAACGACATAGCCGGGGCGGGAGCAGACACAGACACAGCGGTCACCGGAGGGGGTTCGAGCGGGGAAACAGAGGGATTGTTATCTGAGATTCTGACGGGCGAATCCGGCAAGGCAGGTGGGGCATCGTTATCGGTAATCTTCTTTACCATCTGCGCAAGATGAAGTTTAATGGGTTCATCTCCACACTGAGCATGTTTCAAGACCTCATTCTTCAATCCGAGGATCTCCGATCGTAGCCGTGCAATCTCCGCGATAAGCTGTTCTTTCTTCTTGGACTGTTCCTTGAAGTCGCATTCCAGCTTCTGGGTATGCTCCTTCTTCTTCTGGCGACACTTGCTTGCTGCAAGACGATTTCGCTCTAGGAACTTGGCACGCTTGGCGCGTTCGTGCGGGGCGTCGTCGAGATCTGGACTGAGGCTTGCAGCGGCGGTTTTGTATTCTCGCACCCGCCGTCGTTTGCTCGCGCTTTCCATCATGTCCAGGGAAAGGTCGCGGCCTTGATCGTCGTATGGAGGCGGGGTTGGTTGGCCATTTCGAACTTGGGCGTTTTTGAGGTCCCGCTCGAGTGCGGAATTGGCAAATGCTGCCGAGTCGGGTTTATCCCAGGCTGTGGCCATTGGTGAGACGGGGCTCAAACCCCAGAGTTGGTCGTCGTCTGGAATGGGAAGACCTAGGAAATCACCTGAAAAGGAAGATGTAAATGGTGATGGATCGATGTTGATATTTGCAAGGCCTGGGGGTAACCCTGATGGTAAACCCGATGGCATTGCAGATTTGAGGTTGGTAGACATGTCAAAGAAAGAGAGAGAGAAGCTTCCCAGAAGAAAGTTATGTTCCTTCTAAAAACATGGAGAGAGAAAGCAAGAGAGCACACTAAGGAAGCTAAGACAGACTCTCTTGCCCTAATAACCCTAAACAGAGAGAGAAAAATAATAAAAGTCTCACTGTGTTTTTTCTGTCTTTTCTGATTCGGATTCACTGATTCATTCAAGAGGGTTTGGTCGGTGCCTGAAGAAGAGTAAAGTCCAGGAGAGTCCAGGTTGCGGTCGACCTGGTTGGAGCCACGGTCGGACAAGACTTCCTGCGGTCCAGAAGATCCGGGCGAATGGGCACAGAATTGGGATGTTGGGATGTTATTTTTTTTGGTGTCACCATGGGAATGTTCCAAAGGGAAAACAGATAATCAAAGTGAAAAAGGAATGTATTTTTATCTTTTAAGACCCCTTCAAACCCCCTGTAGAGACCTAGACCTGTCCAAGTCCAGACTTCTCTAGACTATTACCATAAAAGACAATACTAAGAGATAGAAAACAATAAAAACAAAAACAAAAACAAAAAGAATGGTATCCAACAGGATTCAAAGCCGAAGGGGGAACAACCACAAAACAGGGTTGGGCTGGTGGAGAGAAGTATACAGAATACAGGTTTTTTCTAGAAATCCAATCAGAGAACCCAACCTGGTTTCTCACTATGAAAACAGGGCTTTGTCCAATTATTTATTCCCTACCCACCACGTACCGTCCACTTGTCCAGTGTCGCAACTGTCGGTGCACGAAATGCCAATTATTGAGCAACAGACCCGCCACGCGTTGTTCATCAATCTCCTTTTGAACTTCTGTCGAGGCTTCTGGGTTCTCTTGCCCCCTGGGCCCGAGGAGTAGCGGTCCAAACACCCGCACCAACTCGTGGAAGTTCGGACTCGCCACTGGATCACGGAGCTCCATCCCGGGTTGCTCTGGGACGTTGGTCTCCGCATTCACCAACAAGGAAAGTAGCCCAAATACTGCACAGATAAGGTCGCGCTGCATCTCAGGAGCAAGGGCAATGAGCGCAAGACACATCAGCTGAACTCGGGCGGCAGTCGTTGGGCTCGCCTCGGAGATACAATCTGGCACACGCAGGTGATGGGATTGATCGGGGATAGAGTGATAGAACATCGCTCTCAAAACCTGGTAGAGCCGGACACTCCCGAGGATCCCGTTTGGAAGCCCCGCCAGCACGGCCTTGAGGGTCCAGGCCACGCTCAACACGGGCGCCGAGTCTTCACGGAGCTGCGGCATGGCAACCACACGCATAGTAAGGGAAATTTTCGACTCATCTTTCTCTGCCTCAAGTACCTGGCTAGCAAAATGGTCATACAACCGAGTGGCTGCTTTCAGATCACCGGACTGGAGGAAGATCTCGGGAGTGTCAACACCTGCAGGAACCCGGGGTCAGTCAAGTCATGACGTAGAAGAAACAGCCACCAACCATATTTGTGCAGAAACATCAACGTTGCCACAATGTATGCGGGCAACTGCACGGGACAAGGGGCCAAGTCTGTCAACATAAGATAACCATATCCCCCCAGACGGGCCAGTGTCTCGATCGATCTTCCTTGCAACGAAGTCATTGAAGTCGGACGGCGCAGATTCGCGAATGTTTTCATTCGTCGCAGCTTAGGAGGCGGCGCCAAAGGGGTGGTGTCGGCATCCAAACTGGATCGCACCTTGCGAACTTTACCCAACAATCCGAGTCCACGACGACTCGTACCCTCTTCCTCGGTGGGATTGCCCTCGGCTGCTAGAATCTAGTCAGTGACAATCCATTCACAAGGAAAGACAAAACATACGTGGACTTGGAGTCTCATCGCCTGGAATGGAAATCGGAATACCAAACTGAGATGCCATGCGGTTGAAAGCCGAGATCGCCTTGGGTGAGTCAAGTGTGCTAGTCCAACTAACTCGACTTGTTTGGCTGTTGGCCGAACTTGCCCTCTGAGCATCCTGACCTTCGAGCTCGGCTGCTTCGATGACAGGTTCGATTGTGTCAAAATCAGTCTCGGCGATAGGCTCCAGAGTCCCCTCAGAAGCCCTGGATGATTCCTCTCGGCTCGTGCCTGCACTATGCCTTGAAGGTCCTGGCTTTGCTTGTCTGACGTCGGCGGCTTTCCCATCTGAGAATGGATCCGAAGCCTCCTTGGTATGAGTCTTGGGGTTGCTGCTACTATCAGGGTAGTACAGCATGAGGCCCGGCCATCCCCACTCCTCCAAAGGTTCCTGAATAGGCATCGCGATGTGTCGGGCAGGGTCTCGGCGAACACTATCCTCAGTCTGGCTGGACTCCTGAGAATGAGTCGTCTGAGCGCTAACCTTCCGCCCCGATTTTGGGTCATCGAACCTGACAGACTTGCCAGCGGCCGTGGACGACTCCCCGGCAGTGGTATCCAGCTCAACGGGATTGGAGTACAAAGGTATGGAGCTCGGATTCTCTTTGCGGGAACTCTCCTGCGCAGTTTGAAGCTGTGTGTCTGTGATAGGATCATCTTCGTGGGATAAGCTGCCACGCAGGCGAGCAACCATTTTCTTTAGACGTCTGGTGCCATTCTTGGACCGAGGAGGAAGTTCGCTAGTGTCTTGGGCGTGTTGGGCATTCGACCCAGTCTCGGTATTGTCAGTATTGTCAACGGGGGCTACTGCGGCCGAGCCAGATGGCTTGTTTGCGCTGGGTCCGGATTCGGTTGTTGGCTCATCGCCTAGTTCATTCGAAGCGGCTTCTGGCTGAGGCTTCAATGGATCTTCTTCAGACGGCTGATGCCGTCGTGACCAGACAGCACGAGATGCAGCAGGATCAGGTGTCTCAGATCTGGACCGGAACGCATTTTTAAGACGCCGCATGATTACGTTTGGATAATGTATACGAGAGGAAGAGATGGGGATGAAGTAAGGACTAGGATGGGGGCCTGGGGATGTCCACGGGTTGACTTGGCCAAGGTCTTGTCCTTGAGGAAGGAGCTGAGATACAGGAAGGTACGTCTTAAGAGCATGAGGGTCAAGGTTCAATCAACAATCTAAGATAATATAAGATAATGCTTCAAAACATTCCAGATCTTCCAAGTCTATTTCTGAGCAATAAAAAACAAAAGTTTTGGAATCCATATCATTACCTCTGTACATTCGTAAAGCCCCAAATCAAAAATAATAGCCAAGAACAAGCATGGCCTCGCCGGGCCCATGTGCTCCCAGGCAATTCATATGTTATCTTCATCTTTCGAGGGTTCACTCGAAGAGCCAGAACAGGGCAGATCAAAACGCCGGAACCATGCAAAACGGAATATGTATGGGAAAAATCACTTTCAACTCGAATCTGATCAAGCTTCCTCATTCTCTCCCTCGAGAAGAATGTAGTGCAAGATATCACTCAAAGTCAGAACACCCTTGAGCTTGAAGTGCTCATCCACAACGACGAGACGGTGCACCCGTGATTTGCGGATAGTATCAAAGATAGTGTCCAGTCCGTCATTCAATGAGCATGTGTAGATGCCCGGGAAACCCTACGTAGAAAGTACATGTGTAAGTATCAAACTGATATCATCAGGAACGGAGGGTCACATACCGGAGAACGTTTCTTCAATGCCTCCCCAACCGTGAGGCTCAAATCATCGTAGAAACCACCCTTGATCAAGGTAATGACATCGACCGACTCGAATACGTTATACACCACGCCTTCCGAGTTCACAATCGGGACACTCGATATGCTGCGCTCGACCAAAATATGGATGACATCAATAACTGGGGTATCCATCGAAGCCGTAGCAACGTTATCATACGATCCAAGCAAGAGCTCCCCCAGCGGACGCCGCAGCTGCTGTGTATCGGGGACATTGACGGCGACGAATTTCAAGATACGGTATTGGGTAATGACGCTGAGAACGTGGGGCCGCTCGGTCTGGCTATCGCTGGTGACGAGAGGAATACGGCGGGCGCGCGATTCCAACATGCGCCGACAGGCATCGTAGAGAGGGCGCTCTGGATCAATGGAGACGGTCTCCGGCGGCGCCACACCTAGCGCCTTTTCAACTTCTGTATATTCCCGTTAGCCGGGTGTACCTGCAGGAAATGCGGCGACACGAGTGCCCAACGCACCTCGCAAACTGTCCAGGCGGAATTGATCGATCTGGTCCAGTGCGGCGGGGTTCTGGAAATAGTATTGGATGACATTGATGTAGTCGGAGGTGGTCAGAAGACCTGCGAATTTGGAGGCTTTGGAGTCCCACAACGGAGCTGAAACGATGCCTGTACCTCCCGATTCCCCGGTTCATAGTCAGCTGGAGTTCGGCAATTTTGTCGAAAAGGATGTGAAGGGATCGCGAAAAACGTACCGTTTTGAATCAGAATGTTCAGACTCTCCTTGACGGAAAGCGACGTATCGAAGATGATGAGTCGGAAGCTGAGCGGTAGAACATCGTAGGAGTTTCGGGCCTTGAGGAAATCGCGAATGGCACGCTGTTTGCGTTAGTCAAGATCTGGATATGGCCTCAGGTGATCTGGTGACTGGTGAACCCATGCCCCGAAACACGTTCACAATGTCCGATCCCCCACAGTGTCCAACGTCAGGTATAAAGAGGGGTTCCCCCCCACCTCTTTTGAAAAATCAAAAAGGAAGACTTACAAGGCCCTGTCGCTCTTCCCGATCGATCGCTCGCTCGGAAGCCATTGGGGGCGTAGGTACGAGGATAGGCTGCACGAAAGGCGCGTGACCAGAGATGGAGGTCCCGAGTCGAGGGTCTTCCGCCTTTCGATATGTGGGGGAGAGGGATCCTACGCAACCAGATTGAAATTTATTGGAAAAGGGGATACTAATACGGGATTTAATTAGATTAATTTACATGTGTTATTTTCTTTTTCCTAATTTCATATCAGATTATAATATTTAATTATTTCAAATGAGCTGCAAGTACGCGTACAGGGACATTCGAATAATCCTTGTTCAACGATGTATACGACATGGATATATACCCGGACTTGACACCTGGTTCCTCAGGCATGAAATTGATATAAAAGCCCTCCTGGGCAGGTATGAACTCTCATCTAGGAAAATCTTCTATCGGAACTAGGAGTTGGGGCAGACACCGACTTCCGGATATAGAGCGCAATATCCGAGAACAGCTCGCTATCAGGGCCAAATTCATACAGCTCATAACCTTCCATCATTGCTCTCACCCGCGAAGAGTCAGGATCGGTTCTAAGGAGGATGTTAGCAGATTTAAAAGAAGGTGGAAGACAACATGATACTCACAACCCGCGAACAAGTCCATCCATAAACTCCACTCGACACCAAATAATAACCGCAGGTCGAGCAATGTCCGTAATAATCTCCTTGACAGGCACATTCGGTGCTATCGAGAGTACGATCGAGTTCTCGTCCACCTCGAGCCATCCGCGCGGATCTTCAATCACCTCGATGCCCGCCTCTTCCAGAATCTTCTCGTCTACCTCGCTATATTCTGGATCCTGTGAGTAACATAAGACTTTCTCTTTATGGTCTCTTTCTTGTAGCCATTCCGTCATGGTAATGAGAAGCGCGTGCTGAGACGCAGATCGCCACGCACTCCTAGTATTTAGAGTGCCATCCTCATTGATACATTCGCGCGACATCGTGCCAAGAGCAAAACCGATGACCTTGTCGATCTCATGATCTTTTGCAGAAGATGAGAGAATTGTCTGGAGCTTTTCGCAAGCTGGGCTCTCTTTCCATTCTTGGGTCTTGTCTTGGAAGGTTTTTATGACCACTTCACGGCCCAGGGGGCCACGCCGAGGGATGGTTTTCTCAGACTTCCTATCCCATTCGTGTGTCCGATGCATAATATTGACTGAGCAGGGCTCCCAGTGCTGGAACGTGTAATCTTCCCAGTCAAGCTCCCTTCTGAGAGATGCTCGGCACTGATAACTGAGGACCAGTTCCTTGCTGGATGATATCAGCTCTCACCATAGTACAAACGTAAATATTACCCGCATGTACTCACCACACATATTCCAATTCCATATCATCCACCCGCCATTGCCGAACCTTCCCTGTCTCAACATCACACTCAACAACCGCGCCGGTTATGTCTTTGGTAAGTATTTTGTCACCATGGACTGGGTCTTGCTTGATCTGATCCCACATGTCTTGAATTAATTCCTTGGTGAAAAAGGGCACACCGGATTCGTAGAGTCTGTCGATGATTGCCTTCGCCTCCTTCTGGGTTGGCACCTCCCCAGGTTCAGCCAAGCGACAATGTCCGATTCTGTAGTCAAGGTCTAACCGCGAGATTCTTTCTGCCACGGGCTCTGGGTTATTTATGTCGCCCATATTGACTATGTGACTGTTAATACCTTTTGGGTGGCAAAGGAGTAATTATTTTGGGGGCAGTGCTTATAATATAACCATTATTATTGCGGCTGGCGCATAAGCCAGCGCATTCATCACACTCGCACCGACACATCACATGTGCGGGGTATGTCCACTGGATAACAGTTATATAGTTATATAGTTACATATTGGAAAGTCATCGGCATAATATAAGTCTTCTTCTGGCGTTTTCCGCTATCTATCCAGAAAGTCTGAGAAGACAGAAGAGCTATCTTAAAGAAGAAATCTAAGAAGACTTACAAGACTACCAAATAAACTATTCGAAAGACTACCTAAAAGACTACTAAAAGGACTGCTAAATAGACACAACAAGACTAGCTCTCATTGTAACAGCTCTGCCAGTGGGCAAATCACGCATGAAGCGGATAACCTGCTTGGTGTATTCCCGTTCAACTGGATCTGTCAAGCGTTTCGATGGGAAACGATGCCCTAGATTCACTCCACCTTCGAAGATCATACCAGTGAGGCTCCACAGTTATTTTAGCTCCCTGAAGAAATCGGAATCTAGGTTGATGGCCAACAAGCTCCCAAGGATCTAGCTCCATTTATACACTTCCGGGGACATTGTTCATAAAGCTCATCCCGTTAACAGATAGCAGTATTCAGTGCATCACATCGTCTACCATATTTGCGTAGGAAGTCAACATCCACTTAGCGAGTATTCTATACCCAACTATTTCAGTTACTCCCATTCCCGGTGTTAGTTAGATGGTATCCTTCCTCCCGTCGCAGCCTAGTAGACAACACTCTTTACCCTATACTAGAAGGATTAGAGAGCAGGGAGGCTCCGGAATCGTCGTGTACCAAACGCCACGCGCCTATAGGTACAGTACAAGAGAAATAGCAACCGTGATACTAAAGGGATCGGCGGCTATGAATGAAGAAAGTAGGAAGGAACAACTCTCACTAAGTTAGTAAGAGCCACCCGTTGTTTTCTCATCTTATATCAACCTATATCCAAACCTTGGAAGCCATATATATATGGCCCTCCACACCTAGGTAACACGAAGCACCCGGCAACGTATTACGCTCTCATTGCAAACAAGTTGTGTGTGACGAGAAGACATGAAACACTGGGGAGAAGCACGGGAACGTGCTGTTGGCAAAGCAAAGCGCTTGGAGAGAAGGAGAAGCAGACCCGAATAAAATCATAGCTATCATATGATATGACTCTAAAAGATAAATATTTCGAGGCCAAAAAAAAAAAAAAAAGAAACTAACCCAAAAAGAAAGCCATGTAACGCCGCCGAAGCCATGCAAGGTATCATCGCAAAGCACATTTTGTCCAAATTCTAGAACCAGCCAGAACCTGATTCCTTGGGAGGTAAATACATGAGAAAGGTGTAGGGGACGGATCAAAGCTCAACGAAGCTCAATGACTGAATATCTGTAGCCGGGCCTAGAGGTGGCCGTGTAATTTGAATCGGTAGATGCAAGTATGGTTGGCACCCCAATTCGAAGTCACTCGGAAGACAACCTTATCCACGCGAATTGTTGACACGTCGACGATGGTGTTGAGCTTAAATGCCTGCACGTAGTCCGGGCTGTGGAGGTCGTATTCGATCTTCCCGATGCGGTAGAAGTTGGGGCCGAGAATTGGGTCGTCTGAGTAAGCGCTTGGAGGTTCAAAGGGGTTGCTCCGACGCAATAGATCCATCACCAACCCATGGAGTGAACCGATTCCAGGGATTTGGAACCCTCCAAGTCCTGTTTCGCGGGACGAGGGGGCCTGGGTTGAGGGTGGCGCTGTTGACACCGTGGCATCTCCGAAGATTTTCAGGAAGCCACGGCCAGGTCGAGCCTCGGGGGTTGGTTTGGCTTTGACCGGTGTTTTGTGAGGGTTCACTTTGAAGCGAGCCCACAGCTCGATTGTTCGGGGTGCCGCTTCTGGTTCGAGAGAAGCGCCCACGGGAATGTGCTCAACGACCAACTCTTCTGCCACGATGTCGCGGCCGAGAAGGACAGATAGTTGGGTTATTCCATTTCGAGGGGCACTACACCAGCAGTCGCCTACCTCTTCCCACGTGCTAAGGGCAGACAGGGGGGATTGCGGTGCTCGGAGGGTGCGTCTTGTTGCAAACGAAGTCGCCCAGAGGAGTGCTCGGAGGGAAGCACTCTGCTTGGGACCCAAAGTTGGTGATGTTTTCGCTGGGTCAATGATTGCCCCCAATGCCACCGAAAGGAAATTTACCTTATGAACCGGGTTCCGATGGAGGCTTGCATCTGTGGGCATTGAATCACGAATGGACTTTTCTGATCGGACAGAGCTGATCTCTTTCGACAGGGATGACATCTGAACGTCCATTTTTGATACCTGGCTCCGAAGGCTATGGAAAACTTCCGGTTTAGACAGGTTTACGTTCGAGGACAAGTCCCAATCCAGAACACCATGATCAAGGTAAACGCGAAGCTTTGCGGCAATCAGGGGCATGAAAATGAAGCTCAGGAACAAAAGCAAATAGAAGGCAGCCCGAATCCAGTTTTGGTAGGGACCTTCCATTACTGCCCCGAACGTCTGCATCCAGGTTTTTCGGCGTACCTCGCTGGGGGGTTGATTGTTACTCTGGGGCTCCTGATGTTGAGGTCGCACTGATCCTAGCCATCGACGCAAAAAGCTTTCCTTGGGGACATCGGGCTCTAAGTCGTGATATATTGCCGATTCAAACTTGATATCCTCTTCCTCTTCTTCTTCTTCTTCTTCTTCTTCTTCTTCGTCCTCCTCAAGAACATTAGCTAGGCCAGAAATTCGTCGAGGGGGCGCTGTGATGTTGCGTCCGTGTTTGCTTGGTCGCGTTCTTTGTAGGTCATCTTCGTTAATATCACGTTCCAGATTCCACGATGCAACAGAAGCATTGTCAACAGAGCTGTGACGGAATGGCGAGCTGCTACCCAGAGGACTGTGAATGCGAGGAGATCCTGCCCGTTGAAGCGGCGATGGATAAAGAGGAGAGTTCGACAACTGACGTTGCAATGGGGGTTGAGCGCCCGGACTAGAGTCTGTAGATACCGAATGTGGAACAGGGGGCGAGGGAGTTTGATCGGAGTGCTCATCTACTGCATTGTGCAGCGACTGCTGAAGCTGAGCTTCGTCGGGTGTTGGTTCACGCTTTGACTGGCGTGCTTGGGGGCCTTGCTTCTTCTTTGTAGCGGCTGTTCGCTTCCGAGCAACCTCAAGATGGGCATCGACTGCTCCAGCTGCCTGGTCAATCCCAACGTTAGGCCGCATCGACATGCGCTTAGGTAATGCTGTGGTAGTAGTAGCGCCATAGTTGAACGATGCTTGGACTGGAACACTAGGCAAAACAGGCCCTTCCACACGGTCGAGGATGGACTCAAACTCGGGTGCCGGATGTGGCCGTTGAGGAGTCGCGCCAGCCCGGCGCGTAGCACGTTTAGGTGGCATATGTACCTTTAACCTTTAGAATTGATCCTAAAGATGATGATATGTTGTTCTTGTTTTGTATCTAGTTGAGATATCAGCTTTGGACTGGACAACTAAAGCAAAACAAACCCAGACAATGGGTCATAGTTGATGTGTAAATTGAAACCTTGGAAATACCCAGCAATGATTGAAACAGAATATCCACACATTCATGTATCAAGACATAATGCGACATAGTTAAACTGGGAATGGTATGACGAGGATAGAACATGTACAAGGGTGGCGGACCAAGGCCATTGGTTACCAGCAGTATTAAGCAAGAAAAGAAAAAAAGAAAGCGACAATAACTTCGGACTTACCACAGAACAGATTTAAAAATACAGACTCCGAAAGGCCGTGTGTAGATGTCCGAAGCCTGTAGATCGCGACCCCGGAGAGACGCGCAGACGCGACGGGAACGTGACTTGCAGCTACCAGCAGCTTCCGAAGGTGATGCGCCCGAGAGAGATCGAAAGTTGTTCACTTTGTTCCAAGAATAGCGGACACTCTGGGTCTGAGTTGCCAGGAATCCGGGGGAGAACTCAGAAGGTTGGGGGTGAAGTGAGTGAAAAGTAGGGGAAAAAGGGTGGAGGCGCAAATGTTGAAGATCACTGAAGAATCTCAACTCTCGACTTTTGGAGTTTTATATATGTACAACATTGGACTTTGGAATTTGAGATGTTCTTTATATTTCTGTTCTTTATAGATTACATATATACAGTCTCACTTCCATAGTCTTTGTTGTTTAGCTCTCTTTGTCAACTCTTGCGCCTCGGACTGCTACGATCTTGCTATTTTTGTTTCATCCTACTCCCCTGTCTGAAGGACTTTGTTCATGTATACAGAATAACCAACGTGGTTCTGCTCGTGATTCGCCCGGTCGCTACTAAGACATAGATTGAATACTATACAACGGTCGCAAAAAAAGGCTGGGGTGAAAGCAAGATGTGAACCTCCCCCAAGTATGCACCTCCTAAAAGAAGATCTTACATGTCTAACATGTCCAGGCAGCCATGGTGCCGTCTTTACGGCCCTCCACAAGGTAGCCGTCCTTAAGACGAACCCGCTCGACGGTGGCAGGGAATGGCCCATCGTCGTCAAGCCCAACACCTGGACCGCAGTCCCAGTGGTTGCCATCAGCCTTGTCATAGACCTTAACCACACCCTCTCCGGCAGCGGCTACGATTCGTTTGGCATCGAACATCATGTCGGTGATAGGCTTCTCGTAGGCATAAGCGTCATATATAGAGCCCATACGTAGATCCCAAATCTACGAAGAATTAGAAACAATAGTCAAGCGAGAGAGAGAAAAAAAAAGGAGTGCTTACCCGAATACTGCGATCGAGACTACCCGTGACCAGATGCACATCATCAAATTGAAGGCATGTGACTGGCCCCGTGTGTCCTACAAGACTCCGGTGGACATGGCCACTGCGCAAATCCCAGAGACGAACCATACCATCTGCTGTACCGCAAGCCAGCGCAGCGTCAAAGCACTGCACTGCACCAATGAAGTCGGCCGAAGCATCGGGCATGCGACCCGATGGTCGCCAGTCGGAGTCTCCCATCATGGACGACGATGCCTGGGCGGACGCCCACAGAACGTCCAGAGTTTGGACACAGCGGCCTTTGACTAGATCCCATTGTCTGAGTGTCTTGTCTGCAGAACCTGAGACAAGGGTGTCACCCTTGAAATGAAGCGCTGTCACCTCATCAACGTGTGCCTCTAGCGAGAATACATTACAGTCTTCAAGGTTGGAGGATGGCGGTACTGGGAAGTTGTGCTCCGAGGCTCCCTCTTCTTGGTCCCGCTCGTGTTTGTTAAGCCGTCCATCCCGGGTCGCGGGCCGAGCACGGCTCAGGTCCCACAGCTTGACAGACGCATCCATAGATCCCGTGGCCACGATGTTATCCTCGACTTGCAGGCATCGCACCGAGGCATTGTGTCCCTCCAAGAAACCGGAGCACCGGCCAACATTCATGTCCCAAACTCTCACGGTATCATCTAGTGCAGCGCTGACCATAGTACCGAATGGATAGTCAAAGTCGATGGCTGTGACCATGTCGGTGTGCGCTTCTATTTCCTTGATCAGAGAGCCCGGGGCGAAGTGTTCATGTAGAATTGGCATCGACCGTTTCCCTAAATCTGTTGTCAGTTGTGATTCGCGTACCAGACCGGAGGATCCCATACGATTAGATTTATGTCGTAGACTTTTTGGTGAAGGTGAGGGAATCTTCTCGTAAATAGATTCTGACATGAACGAAGCATCCATCGCTGGATCTCCCGACGATGCGATCGAACCGTCCTGTCCGTCTGACCGCGGCGTTGCAACTGGTGTGTCCTGTGATTCCTCCTCTTCTGGGAAGTCTTCCAATTTATTATCGAGCTCCGTCACTGTTCCGTGTTAATCAGTTTTTCTTCCATGATTTCATTTGTGTCGACATGTTGACCCACGTTCTTGCTCCAATCCCGCTTCATCCATTTCCAAGGCGGCCAATCGATCGAGAACAATCTTGCGCATTTTGTGCAAGTTGGCGACCTTGTTATCGATTTCATGGATCTCCGCGCTGCACATGTTCTTCCGGATTCCCATCAACTCCAATTTGCGACTCAGTGATTTCCGCTGGCCCTTTAGCCCGGCCGGGCCGGCAGTCAAGGTGCCACCTCTCTCAACGTCCTTCAAAAGCTTCCCCTTGGAGGTACGCCTTCGGTGTCGCTTCTTCTCATGCTCTTCTTCGGGAACGGAGGCCTGAAAGCCTTGGAAAAGGGAGTAGGAGCTGGTGTCTTCGGGGATGTTGGCAAGAAGATCATCCGGGAGGGATGAAAGCGCACGCGACTGGATCTCGGTAGTCGAAAGCTTTGAGCGGACAAGGTCGGTCGGTGTTGTTTGCGTTAGAGAGAACACCTTGCGCTGCGTGGCCGGTCGCCGGAGCTCGCGGTGGATGTCGGTCATAGCATTGTGCAAGTGGGCGCTGTTCTGTTCGCCCGGTCCCATCAGGTGTCCTGCGGTGGTTGTGACTTTTCTTCCAAATGCCTCAAGGTGACGAGTCTGCAATCACCGCAGATGAAATCCAGTCAGCCTGCAGTTTGGTGGGGGATGCGCCATCGGAGGATGGGAAAAAGCATACCGTTAAGCCGGTGCCCAGAAGGCCATCGCCCTCGACGATATCTGACAGACCCGATGGCGAGTCGTCGCGGCGCTGGTTCTCCATGAGACGGAGAGTATCTTGGGTTCAACCGAAACCCATGCGATAGGAGGAGAGGAAAGTTGGAATCTTGCGGTAGGTTAAAGTAGGAGACTTGGTGTCCCACGCGGGTTTACCGCGTTCCCCGGGTACTGCCGTATCGTACTTTTACGAGCTGAAACCAGCACAAGTGCTTTCGCTTTCGACTGCCGGAATGTGAGTTTCGATATTTGATCAAAGTGCAAGGATGTTCAAGTGTGTTGGTTTTAGCTCGATTGTGGTGTTTCTGCAAGTGCCTCGGTCGCATATGGTCCAAAGTACCAAATGCACCAGATCATGGGAAGCCTGATCGTGTTTATTCACCGTTTTTTTTTTTTCTATTCGTAATTGTTGAACTCTGCATATGAGAACTATGTAGGCTTTCTGACACAGCATATATCCCTTCCTTTTCCCCCTCTTCTGCAACATATAAATGGGAGGACGAGCGGAGTGGACTTGAGGTATTCGGAAACAACTTTACAGTCCCGCAGACTCTCCCCATCTACACATCACCACATACAAGCCATGGATACCGCCATTGACCTCTCCGATGCCCTCAAGGCATTGGACCTTGCTAATATTCGTTTCCAGTTGATGTGAGTTCTCACCTTTCCTCCTCCCAAAAGACTGCCCACCTCTTTCCCCCGCCCCCGCCATAACCTTCAATACACACTATACACACGAATACTACATTTCTATTGAAACTCCGACCCCCACCATAATGAGAGCTGATAACTGACATTCTAGGCCCTCAGTCGACTAGAAGACACAATTACCTTCCACCTGATCGAACGGGTTCAATTCCCGCTGAACAAGACCGTCTACGTCCCCGGCGGCGTCAAGATCCCCAACAGCGAGCTCAGTCTGCTAGACTACCTGCTCCGCGAACAAGAGCGCCTTCAGTCACGAGTACGCCGCTACCAGTCGCCTGACGAGTACCCCTTCTTCCCGGACGTGCTCGAAGAGCCCATCCTGCAACCGCTGGAATACCCGCGCATCCTACACGAGAACGATGTCTGCGTCAACGACGTGATCAAGGAACGGTACATCAGCGAGGTCCTGCCGGCAGTGTGCCCCAAGTTTGGTCGGGAGGACCGTGGTGAGACACAGGAGAACTACGGCTCCGCGGCGACCTGCGATGTTGCTGTTTTGCAGGCGCTGTCGCGCCGCATTCATTTCGGAAAGTTCGTTGCTGAGTCGAAGTTCCAGAAGGATCCTGAGACTTTTGTGCGTTTGATTAAGGCTGAGGATCGGGCGGGTATCGATGCTGCTATTACCAACTCCGCGGTTGAGCTCAAGGTTCTTGAGCGTTTGGGCCTCAAGGCCAAGACTTATGGCACTGATCCTGCTTTGCCTGATGAGAATGGCCCCAAGATTAACACTGATGCTGTCGTTGCTATGTACAAGGTGAGAAGAGACATTTTGAAGTTTTGGTGGTGTATGATCGCTGACTTTTGTGCTACTCTAGGAATGTGTCATTCCACTGACCAAGATCGTTGAGGTTGAGTACCTCATGCAGAGACTCAAGGGCACACAATGGGAATAAATCGCATCTTAACATATGTATGGTTATGGTATGATCAAACCATCGAATGTCAACATTTATGAGCACGCATTATGAGAATTATGTGGTCGACGCAACACTATCCCGGAAATACACAGAAGACAAAAGTCAGAAGCAAAGCAAGCTAGAATTGAATATATTTTTTGTCGTAAACTGGACATGAGATGCATCAGACTACAAAGTCTTAACATTAACTACGACATATATTGGGTAAGAGCCTTAACCATAGGCTCGAACTTAGCCGCCTCAATCAAAATCAAGCTACCTTTCGTCCGGATACCCAGCTCCTGGAACGCACGCTTGGAGTCCGAGTGACCTTCGTCGGACTTGTGGGTGTAATCAATAGAGCCAGCACACAGCGCATGGCGCTCGATAACCTCGTCTTCGGGGTGGAAGAAGAAGCGCTCGGACTGCTCACCACCCTTCTTCTTTTTCTTCTGAGGCCGGGACTCTTCCTGGTCGAGCTTGGACTCGACTTCCTCATAGTTCTTAGAGAGAACCAGGTAGTGAGAGAAGGTGTAGGGCTCCTTGTCCTCAACAGCCCAGGCAATCTCTTCCTGCAGCATGTTGTACATGGGAGGGACAATCTCGGAGGGCATGTTGATCAGCCGCTCGGTCAAAATGAGACCGATGGGAGGGATCGGGGTTTGGGAAAGGAGCTGGGAAGCGGCGGAGAGGGATGGGTTGGAGGCGGATTTGGTCTTTAGGTAGTTGATCAGGTCCTGGACGACGGGTTTGTCCTAGGAGCAGATTGTCAGTGCGACGAAGATACCAAGATCGGGAAATCACGAACCTTGTGTTCCTGCAGATTGAGAATTGACAAGAACGCATAGGGATCCGATTCATGTCCATCAACCTTCACTGTTGATCCCAGTGTTGGCTGAGAGAGGATCAAATCAGCCAGCGCGGACATGTCGAAGATCTGAGCATCGTTGTCGAATAGCTGACGCAAGAGGTTCTTCAGGCCGTGGAAATCGATAGGTTGAGGATCGAACCATTCAAAATCGACATTGACCATGTCCATGTCCTAGAGTCGTCATTATTGTTAGCAATCCGACGGCACACAGTCCGGGGTACAAGTCTAACCTCGTCAGAGTCGGACTCCTCTGGCTTGGTGCCGCCCATGGTGACATCACCGAGTTCTTTCCGCTTAACCATATTGTGCTTTTTGAGGTGCTTTCTGTCTGGGATTGGGTAGAATTGAAGTTCAAAGGTTGATCTTGGCCCCGCGCTCGGCCGCTTTCGAACTTTTTTCCTTATCGGTTGTTATCGCGGATGTAGGTCATTGCTGCCCAGGTCCCAGGAGCCATGGATTGATTCGAGTGTTCTATGATGATATGCTATATACTATAGATGTATTTAGAAGGCTTCGAAACACTTGGAAAAGGCCTTGGTAGTCTACGGGTTTCGTTGACAAGCTGTCTAAGAATGCAATGGCTATACTTGCACCTAAAATATATATAGACCATAGACCAAATAAACAACATTTAAAACACACAACCAAAACCTGAACAATTAGGCCATGTGAAGCTTCGTAAGAATATGCAAATATGCATTCAGATACTATGCAATTATAACATATCAAAACCCGAAAACCATTGCTTTTCGAAATGAAATATCCAAGTCTAGACATCGTACTCAACCGCTTCAACAGTCGGCACTTTATGAAGCTTAACATCAAAGAACTGCGCGACAAGCTGCACACAATCCCAAATAACCTGAACCTCCTCCTTTGGAACACCAATGCGTCTCGTACCACGAATATGCCAATGGGTCTCCTTGGGCAGATTCTGACTCATGATACCCGGCAGCACAACAAGTTGTGTATCAAGGTCATCCAAGACTTGACGATCGGACAAAAACAACCCGTAAGTAATCTCCTTGGAGAGCCAAGAAAAGTCTTTATGCGCACTGAACAAATCCAGCGTGCCTGTCGTGTTACGCGCGTACAACTTCTGCAGCCACCCAGTGCCGCGCTCGTGGTTTGCCTCGTCGCATTGCCATCCCTCGCGGGTGAAGGTGAAATCCTTATCCTCGTCGCGCTCGACCTCGCTAATAGCCAAAATTGCCTCAATGGGCTTGCATACTCCGACTATAGGTACAGATTTGACGAGCGCCTCACGCAGCCGGCGGATCAGAGCTTGACGGGCTGCCGAAGTCGCATAGTCTGCTTGCTGGGTGAGGTGGAGGTAGAGCTGGTCTGCCCGCTCTGGGTCTGGGCTGGCGGCTAGTGTGGAAATGGCTAGGATGTACCATTTATCGTTGCCCAGATTGGTGGTCTTGAAGCGGTTCTCTAGCTCAGTGAAAAGTTGGCGGTAGCGGGGCTGGACCTCCGGTGTTGCGGTGGAAAAACTCATGGTTGTTCGTGGCGGTTGGTATGGGAGAAGAATTGAAAAGATTTTGGGCTGCAGCTGCAGCTTGCTGGCTCTGATTGGTAATCGAGAGAACATGGCGTAGATCGTACAATTACAGCGTTCAATACAACGTAAAGTTGGTGATCTCTCCATCAATCCCAGTGCACTCCGACGGCTGAAGTGGGTCGCTGCAGATCAAGGCATTTTGTACAGAGTACTCCATATGATGTCCTAGTATAAAACTTCGAAATTTTCTTTTATTTTCTTTCTAGAGATGTAAAGGATGCATAGTTATCGGATTTAAGAGGAAATATCACAAAGAATACCAGGTACTACATTCCATTTGCGAATATCCCCACCGGAGGGATATGTACTCCGTACGTCGATTGTGAACTGGATAGGTCACACACATCCACGAAAACAATATACAAGAAGAAGCCAATAGTTAAGTACAAAGATATCCACACTAAATTATGCTACAAATAATGGAAACAATGCAACTACATAATTTACACGTTAGGTACTATGTACAAAGTATAAGCAAGCTACCTAGCCAACGTTGTACATGAAGTCACGAAGTTACGAAGTATAAAGTGGGGCGGACACTAACCGGCGGAACCCTAAAGCATCAACAATGTCATCAAGCAATGCTCTGCCTTGATTGCAACGATTTATTTTCCAAATCAGAACCCCAAAGAAAGGCCCAGAGCACACACGATCAGGAATGAACAAGAATCTGTTGTCATTGCCTCCAAACCGGACTACGCCCCACTATGATTTCAGTGACTCCAGCATGACATCACAAGCATAAAGGCAAGTATAAGATCGAGCTTTTGCAATGGTAAAAAAAGAAATCAAACTCCTTTTCCATTCAAACAAGCTCCTTCTACCACGGCCATTCTCAACATCTCAAACCTCTCAGCAATCCTCAAATCCGCTCTAAATCTACACAACATGTCACACTTGTCAGGCTCGGGTCATTCCAGCGTCGGAAACCCCAGTATCTACGAGGCAGGTGACCAGCGCAACGTCCCTGTGTCCGAGCTTCAAGAGCGCGCCCGTTATGCTGA